TTACAACTTTCTTTGATAAGTGAGCGAGATACAAGCAATTGAGATGAAGTACCTAAGGAGAAGAGAAGGACAAATAACAAGGGATAAGGTCAGAAATATGAAAATTAGAAGCAACTTGGAAATGAAACCAGTCAAACATATAACTGAATAGAATTAGCTAAGGTATTTTGGTCACGTTAACACGTATTCGTCAGAATGACGAAAATTCGTCATTTATATATTACAGAAAATAATTGCAGCATTGCTCCATTGGTCCATTGCAGCATTGGTCTAACGTGCCGGATTCCCTGTTCCAGTCTACATTTGATTATAATGCGGAAATCGCGGAATGTGCGGAAAGACTGGGATTGGATCAGGCCCATTGAAGCGTGAGAGCTCTACGACAGTCGCTGAGAGAAAACTCTTTTGAAGAATGGGCCAGCTGCAGGTGGCAAGGCGTTGGAGTTCGACACTTTAAAGAGACCACGAAAGCCAATAAATACATATGCCAGAAAAAAGTGCTTTCGGGGTCGAAATGGTCCAACGCCTTAAAACTAAACATCAATTACGCACCTTTACGAGGAGTCCCAGGAGCCAGTCGAAGGAAGTTGGGTCCCTCTGTCGTAAATGCGGCAGAGAGTCGGAAACACCAGCCCATGTGCTGGGAAAATGCCCCAACAATGCCCTCCTCATAACACGTCGGCATCATAGGGTAAAGTTCGAGGGGATGAGGCTCCTTAGAAAAAAGGAATTCACCTGCTTTAACGAGGTCTATTGCATAGACAGTGAAGGCTCTACAAGATATGCGGATATTGTCGCGTTTCCCAGAACAGGAAGGACAGCGCTAATCTTGGATCCAACTGTCCGCTTTGAGAGCAACGACCTCGATCAGGCGGGTGAAGTGGAAAGGGAAAAGAGGAATATATACAACAAATGCATTCCTTTCCTAAAAGAGAAATTCCGCGAGACCTTCGGAGAGAGAGAGTTCACTGTGAGAGGCCTCTGGTTTGGGTGTCGCGGAACGATCCCGGAAAGAACAAGGAGCTTTCTCGAGGAACTAGGTGTTGATATTGGGGAGCTCGCGGTATTGGCCGAAAATATTATTTTGGACTCCCTGGGGATCATCCAATATCATATTTATACCGATTGAGGACATCTGGTAATAATTGTTTATTAAATTTTGAATTGATCCACTGTCGTCCTGTCTTTTTGTCTACATTCTGGGAATTGCTGTGTTATGTATGTGTGCGATGTTGTAATGAGTTCCTGGAAGAGAGAAACAGGAAAATTTATAGAGAGAAACAGGGAAATATTTTTTTTTTTTGTGTTGGGAAAATGTTTATAGTGCTATGTATATTATTTAATATAGTTTTATTGTTGATAACTTGTAAGTGTATTGTTATGAGGGGAAAGAGGAAAAAGAGAGAAAGAAAGGAAAGATATGACATATATATGTATAAAAAATAGAAAAATGAAATATAAAATTAATGTCCTTTTGGATTGATAGGTATGCTGTGTACAAAGCAATCCTATGTAGTAGGGCAGCATTACTTTTAATAAAGTATTTCTCTCTGTCCTTTAAATTATTACAAAACAGAGATAAATCTATGCCAACATTTTGTTAACTTGTAGGCACTTTGGGAAAGGCGGTGCAAAAAATTACCTATGTGTTAAAAGGATGCAAGGGAAAATAATTGCCAGAAATTCATACAAAACGAGAGTTGAAGGAAAATGCTCAAGGAGAAGGCCTATAAAAACTTGGGAAGGAGCAGTCCAGGAGGCATTCAACAGGAGAGACGTATGGACTGGAACAGGTGCAATCAGTTGGTACAGGATCGAGACTCTTGGATCAGACTATACAAGCACGAACATAGCATACTGCTCTGGGGGTAGAAGAAGGCGAGATTAAGAATAAATTTCTATAAGCAGCTTTTTATTAATATTGCTACTCCACGTGTTAGTACTCTCATTCCAGTTATCGTAGATTGCTCCAGTTATCGTTCGTAGAATTTTTCTCTCAAATATTTCAATACTTCATTCCAGGGTGCTGGTTACTGTCCAGTTCTAGCAGCCATATATCAGAACTGGCTTTATCATATAATTGAACACTATATAATAAATATACAACAGACCATTAAGTATTCTATTTTTATTATTGTGGTAAAAGTTATTTATGAATATAAACAGATCTATGGTTCAATAGATCTTGAGAGAGATGAGACCTACTGAATAAGTTGCCACCATAATAGTAAATGATGCATGCTCCGTATATACATTTTTTCAGATATAATGTTAATCCCGACAGTAGTTGTGCAGTAAATCAAGTTGTTAAAGCGATGTTGACCACTGTCACTCAGAAAATTAAAAGAAAGCTTCTTTACAATTATTTTCAGGATATTAAAAACAAGATAACATGTATCCAGAGCAAATACAATGCCTTTCATGTCAACAGTCAAAACAAAAGACATAGCAATTAGACTGTACATCACTCCAAGGCATCTTAACACATATTGTCTTAAAATTTCATATGATCAAAAAGATATGATTTAAAGTAAACTGATAACAAAATACCAAAAAAGGGTGATTTTTAAATTTCTTTAAAAAAGAATGGCAACAGAACAGGAAGTTAAACAGATAGTATAAAATATTTAATTTAAGAATCATCTTCATACAAATATATCTGATTATACATTTTACATTAAAAAACGTTTCGCTGATTATTCATAAAACTTGTTTGAATCTGATTTACATTACATCCTTAAGTGTATACCCTGATTATCAGTCCATTCTATGTTTTAAATAATAGATAATTAGCCTCAATTAAGATTCATTTCTTGCTATGGAAGAAGTTTTAACTGTGGCAAACTTCTCTGATTAAGTGACCACCTGTTGCTGAAGTTTTCAGTAAAATTGTTTTAAACGTTTTCATTGAATCAATTGTAATTGTTATAAAGTAATATAGTTATCAATCTTTAATATTAACTAATAAATAACTGTAATTAAACAATAAATAACAAGCTAAACTATTTTTTCAGTATAGCAGTAATTAAAAGTCTGTATTTAGAAAAGTTTGACTTCTCTGAATAAATGGAAAAAAAATTATCATAATTTGAAAATATTGTATACAATTTTTAGTTCCTAAATATACATATATATAAATACATTATCATCATACACCTAATGACAAGTAGTTATACATAATATCTTGATTTTTCAATTAAGTTATATAATTCTTAAGTACAAGTGCTATTATCTTCCCAACATGAATTTTCAAATATCATTTTCATTTAAAAATTAATTATTATTGTTACAAACCGAAAATAAAACTAATATGGTTCAGAATTCTAAATCATGTTAATATTCAATATACTTCAGAATATATATCATATAATATAACACAGTGCAATATTGTAATAAGCGAGGTTTTTTTAATGCAAAATGTTGAAATAAAAGGTTAATATGTATGAATATTTCATTATCAGAAGGCAAATCTTAACTCAGAGCTGAGCTCATTGTTGAAATCGTTTTTCGCAGCATAGAGGTGGATCCAATTACATGGATGACCTCAGTGCTGGGTTTAAAAACTTTCTCTTACTAAACTTGAAAAACAAATGATGGTGAATGATGACAAAAACGATATTATTAAAATTTATAAATGAATAATTCAACGAAAATAAATTTTTATTGCCTTTAAAAATTTAAACATTTTCAAATTTTACTGTAATAATCATGAAATAATTTTCAAAAAATATACATTAGTTGAATATCCAGCATAATTCAATTTCTCATTGAATATTTTTAATATTAAACATGAAATCAACTAATTAAAAGGCTGTGAAATCCTTACAGTTTGAAGTAACTAGCCTAGCCTATTTATGAACTGGCTAGGGAGAAATTTTAGCACTGGTCTACAGGAAGTTCTTTTTTCAATGTGGTAGCCATCTTTAATTGCAATTTATTGAAGGACCTTATATGAACTAAGTACTAGAATAAAGCACACTATAAAGCCCTCATATATTAAAAACTTTAATAAACATATTATCTCTTGAGACGTTAATAATTATTGAACCTTAAAGGATTTTTATCATTAAAATAAGAAATAAATAAAAAAGAGTTTTAATTGGCTAATTATCCATACCTTGTATTAGAGAGCACTTCGTAGATATCAATCTCAGGAACCACAAAAAAATAGAAAACGGTTACTGAGAAAAAAGATTATCAAGTTAGATATAGATTAAAAAGTAATGCTTCAAAATTGGAAATGGTAGATAGCCATTATATAAAGCATTAAAACGGAAGTTACACAATTGAATTAAACTATATTCAGAACTTTGGAAACTTGACCGGCACGAATCGTGTGTAAAACATCAACTTCATTCTTTTATTATTAAAACTAAATATATTAATATTAAGCAGAAATTATTACAAAAAATATGTACTACTTTAACTATCCCGAGACACCCGAAGAACAAGAACTGAAATGAAAATCACGACCAACCATATCACAACAAATTTTAAAATGTTAAAAAAGTATTTCTTTTCTCTACTACAGTTCAGTGATCTGCAGGATTAAATAATTTATTTTATTTATAACTACAATTATTTCTTTTTACATATTTATCGTGAAGTATTTTGGAATTCGCAAATGAATTTCGAAATGTACACTATGTGTACCAGTTAATCAATTGATACAATTATGAATAAATCGCGCATATCCGGTAGTGTTGATTATAATAAAAAATAAAATAAAAACGAATATAACTATTCAATCGTTTATTGAAAAATAATAATATAATAGATAGCATCATTATATGACATTTACTACGTTTTTTAAAACAGTAGTAGTTGCGGTTAAAACCAAAAAAGATAGTAGCAACAAAGGCTAATAAATAGTATATATCAGTGATGGAAAAAACTACTGTAGTTACTGAGGATATTTTACTCAAATTTAATCACTATTAGGAATTGTATCTCTTCTTAGGTGATCGCCAATCATCCGTCAACTGAAGTTGTAATGAATTCTTCAGTACTGGGAAAGGACCAGTATTTGAGTGAAAAGTTCAGTACACTTTACTCAAAAGTAATATTAGTGGATCTCTGTATTATACTACTGTACTTATTAGTTTTTATACACCTTGAGCAGAAACATCCCATACAAAATGACGATGTATTCTTTATATAGTACAGTTTACTTTAAATTCGTGTTCAATAATTGGATTAAATTGGTACTAGTAGATATGAGTCCTTGAAATTAAATTTGATTTCTTCAGTTATTATATTTCAAGATAAGAATGGATTTTTCAATTTTTATTTCAAGTATTAGAAAAATCACGTTATATAATGTTCCAATAGAATGAAAAGTGAAATGAAGAGAGAAAAAATATTTCTCACTTTTTTTGTGTGAATGTTTGTTTTAGTAACTCCCCTAAGGTGTGTCTCATTTAATCGACAATTTTCTCAATCAATTCATTTTACAATTGTTACAGCAATATTTTTTTACTTGTAAGATAAGTACCTATTTTCTGGAGACATTGAAACCTCCCTATAATAACAAAACTTTTCACATTGGTGAATTTCTTCTGAGGTGTTCATATTTGTCTCAAAAGAATGCTGATTACTAATGAATGAGCATTTAATATATTTTAATTGTCCAATTTATTATACATAAAAGTCTAATTTCTTTCTGGTTATAGACTGCAGGCATTCTTTAAAACCAATTTCTACTTGATGCAAAGTTTTTAGTTATCTAGTTAAGTAACAGTTTTTGGAAGGATAATTGTAATTAGCTATTAATATGATACTGAATTGTATGGTAATGTATGTATGATTTATTGTAATAAAAACTTAATAGTATTTTTCCATTGACAGGATATGGCTTGTGGGCTCTCGATCCTGTGCAGGGGGTCAGCAGAAGAGAGACTTAGGTGGGTATTCAAGTTGTATGATCTGAACGGAGATGGTAGAGTAAGCAGGGAAGAAATGGCTGAAGTAGTTTCTGCGGTCTATGGTCTCTTGGGCCATGGGCCTCACCCACCTCACCAATATCTCAATACCAGGCTAGATACCATTTTTCAGGTGAAATCATCTTTCATTTATTCCTATTAATTATAACATATTTTCATTATCATTGTATATTTTCAATTTTTATGATTAAGCATTAATTTTTATCAATTTGTATTAGCAGCAATAATAGGAATTAAAGATTTAAGAACATTCAGTCCTGTTTAAATTTTATATATTTTAAGTCTGGTTAAAACTTTGCATCGTATTTGTTTATTTTTGAATTTATTGTTTACTAGAGTTGTTATGTATAGAAATAAATTTAACCTTGCCTTTTCACAGAGCCGTATTAAAATTTATACTGTGACAAACTTATGGATTTGATTGTTATTTATGCCTGCAGTAATTCTTTCTTATAAATCAAAATTATTTTGCACACTCTGCTCTTTAAATTTCTTCTTCTTTTTCTCCTCCTCTCTGCCTCTCACGTAGGGAAGGTGCCATGGCCCAGCCATATCAAACATCCCATATTTCTTGTTGAATTTCATCATTTTTGCTGATTACTGCATATGTATGTGTAGTCTTCTTTTGCCTCAAGAATTTCACTTTTTTTTATTTTTTTTATTGTTTTTTTTATTGTTCTCTCCTTCCTCGCCTTTAAGGCTATACGGGGGTTTTCCCGGGCCAGGGAGTGTGGGTCGAGGATTTAAAAACTCCTCTGGGCACCGGGACGCGAACTCGTGACTATTTTTTAATCAAAGTTTTATGTATCAGGTTGCCGGGCAACGACGGTGCAGTGCACACGCGTTAGCCCATTCGGCCACCCCGCCCACAAGAATTTCTCTCCTTGATATCCAGAATATCCTCAAGTTCTCAGGACTACTTTTACTTGCATATATAATCAGGTCTTTCCTCTCCTGCTTTGCTTCCCATTCCACTACAGCTTGTTGAACGTTTTGGACAGTATCCACTATGAGCACTAATATCATCAACTTATATGAGAGCTTGGACTAGTATTGTCCTAAGGTTCCATTTCCTAAATATTGGTCTTGCCGTCCATCACTTACATATTTTTAAGACCTCGTCCATCAGAAAAATAAAGAGAAGACTTAGCCTGTCTCCCTGAGTGATACCTCTCTTTGTATCGAAGCTTCCAGACTCCTTTTCATTAATTTTTATTTACCCTTTGAGCCTTTGTAGAAGGACTTGATGGCATTTGTAAGTTCCATAATGACATTCTTTGCCATCAGTGCATTCCATATTTTGGATTGTGGTACAGAATCAAAAGAGGTTTGCAGGTCTGAAAAATCAAGATATACATTTTTATCTCGATCTCAAGCATTCTCTATAATTGTCCTTAATGAAAATATCTGATCTTGGGTTTGTTTAAGGTGTCTCACACACTTGATCTTATTCGTGGTCCTTTTCTGCTATGACTTTAAGTCTCTTCTTGATGATTGATTTATACAATTTTGGACTTTTGGTATAAGCATATAGGTCTATAGTTGTAACAGTCACTTTAGATTCCTTTTCTTATGTATTGGGATGATGATGTTCTTCTTCTAATGTTTCAGAATGCTTTTCTCATCAAATTATTTCTGAAATAAGCTCTTAAGCAATTCATACCCTCCATATTTAATAAGCTCGAGATAAATACCATATCTTCCAGCTGATCTTTTCTTCATTCCAGCTACGTCTACCTCCCATACAGTATTATCATACTATATATAGTATTGTCATACTATATTCCAGCTCTCTCACAACTAATTTTGATTTGTTTCTCTGTCAAACATATAGTCTCCAGGTTCTGTCATTTTTGCTGCTTAGATATACCTTTCACATGATTTTCTTCCTTTGTAAAGCTGCTTTAATCCATTCATTCCACCATTCTGATGTAAATGTAATTATTTTTAAACTTCTAAATGTAGAACTAATTTTGTACCTTAAAAAAAATCTTTCATCAACCATGCCTTAATTCATTAGTATCATTACATATTACCTACCTCTGTTAAATTCCTTAATTGATTAGCCTTCTTAATCTAAGTTATGAGATTATATTTTATCAATGTTTCCATCTCATTTTCAATGTTTTTTGTTCCTCTTTCTTGGTTATTAGGTAAGTAATATACAAGGGAAGCTTGAATATTATTTTCATACCCATTCTGTAATATGGAATTTGAAAATAAAATTGTAGACATTGAATATTTCAATAATTCTGTGAGGTTATTCGGTAAATCCAGCCCAGACATGGCTAATATTAGCTCATTCCTCATACTTGTGCCATATTCTGCCCTAAAATCATTTATTAGTATCTATGTAGTATGCTGAAATTTTCTGATTATTTCAGAGATCTGATTTAAGGTAAGAATTCCATCAATATTAGACCCCTTGGATAGGAAACCAACATAATAGTAGTCACTCATTTTCTGTTCAACATATGGTTCGAGCATCTATTGTATAGAATTGTGGAAATATTTTATATATGATGTTTAATTTCTTAATAGTTGTTGATTATTGTTAATTCTTCCTTCAAATTAACTGTTTAAATATATCATACACTCTCTATACTCCTTATAAAAACCATCTCTTTCGGCTGATCCATAATTAGCTCACTGTTTTTTTTTGTTTTTTTTTACTGAATGCCTAACTAAAGTAAGAAGGTCAAGATTCATTTTTATCTGTCAAAAAATAAATGTCAACTTGGACTAGATTCAAACTGACATCCCTAGACTCAAAAATGTTCTCACCATACAACGCCACCACGGCCTCATGTATTCTATTTCTAGATACTTCCTTTGCAGATTGGATAATATTTACCTTGATTTGTCCACGTTTCTGTTGCTTCATCAGCTGTTTTGTTCTTTAAACTTCTCTGCAAACCTATTCAACTCTTCACCTGCTTTACCTATTGTTTATTATGCTTATAAACTAAAAAATTGATTCACAGTAATTAACACTAAAGTATATTAAATAATAAACAAAATGAGATAAGTTGTCTTCAGTCTTTTTTCACAAATGTTTCCAATTCCTCGGACGTTTGTATATTAACAGTTTTTAAAAATTTGTTCTCATTTTATTTTTATCTTAATTGTGTTTTTCCTAAAACAATACAAATAGAAACCAGATGTTTAGCTTAAGATTGCGTTAAGAAATTGCAAGATAGCAAAGTAATATTATTTAGAATTTAAAACAGATATAGCTATTATTTTGTTTAATCATTTAAGTAAATATATAAAAAGAACACTCTAGTAAAAATTATATCAGTAATAGCTTTAAACTGTCATGAGAAAAAAATTTGTATGAGGCATCTATTAACATAAAGAAATAAATCCATTTTAATTTTTAAAGTTAATTACATGGGTAAAATGAATGTTTACTAAAAAGCTAATTTGTACTGAAAAACACTAAGCTACGCAAAGAAGGCATATTGATATATATATATATATATTAGTGTTTTTCAGTACAAATTAGCTTTTTACTGTTTCCAAATATCCACTGTTTTGTTTTTGTGCAATTTTAGAATTTCTAGTTATCCTTTTTTGTTTGTAGATAGATGTCTCATATGAACTTAATAGAACTGATAATTATAATAGTCCATCTAATCAAATATTATGAACTATTATAATAGTTCATCTAATCAAATATGAATCAGAACGGAAAGGAGTTGCAAAATATTTACTATAATTTGCTTTAAGTTCATTAATTTGTCGTTAAATATGTATATGGTTACTCAAAAGCCATCAGATCTATAGTCACATACAATAAAATAAAAGGTAACAGCATGCACTGACAACATGAGATCTATAGTAGTACCTTGTTTACGTAAACAAATGTTTACTTTTTTTTTTTTTATAATTTCAAACCTATTTGAATAAATTGAGCTTTTATAAAACCAATCCAATTTCATCAAAATTTTGTTTATAATCAATTATTAATGTTTTATAATTATCTTAAACTATTACTAAAAAATTAATGTATTTTGCAAAAATATAATTTTAATAGATCTTGGTGTTTTAATTGACTGCTTTCATCAGTGGGTAAATTATGTATTATATTCTAATTTATTCTTCATTACTGAATAAGTCAACATGCTTTATTTTTTTTATGCTCTTCTGGCATGTTTTATTTTGTTTCTTCTCAACTAATTTTCCCACAAGTCGCAATTTAAAAATTCTTGTTTCCATTTGAATGTTTCGGGGATGCTTTGTCCCTCTCTTTAGTATATAGTATTCCATAGCATTCTTGAGTGTTATGAATCAAAAGCTTATAAATTTGGTCAGTGACTGACTGAATTTTTTTCTATAATGGAAAGTTGTGGAGGAGAAACAAAATCAAGAACGGTCAAGGATGATGACATTCTATCATAAACAAATGAATCATATGAATCATCCTTTATTAGTAGTTTTAAAGATAATTTGTATTTTTCTCCAATTGGACAGAAATATCCTTTCTGAGGATGCAACTCCGAGCTTAGTTATGTGCTGGATGGTTAATCTTCCTAAAGATAATTTATGAAAATTAATATAATTTTATTTATGAGTAAACATTATTATATATTATATTAAATTGTTTGCTTAAATTATGTTTAGAAAATGGATCGCAATAAAGATGGAGTTGTTACTCTGGATGAGTTCCTAGAATCATGTTTGGAAGATGCCTCGATAACAAACTCTTTGGCTGCATTTGACTCAATTATTTGAATCAAAATGTTTAACAGATGTGTGCATCTTAAGAACAGTTTGTCATTGTCTCAATCATAAAGGATGATTGCCATTCTCAAAGAAGTTAACCTAAAGACATTTTTCCTTATCATATGAAAATGATTGTGGTTTGACTTACATATTCGACATGTATGTCAAATGTTTGCTCTTTTTCGAGGGAATTTAGGTATATTAAGAAGAGATTTAAGTGATTGGTGATTGAATGCCATCAGTAAACTATGATTGGATTGCTCACATGCTCATTTTTTTATAACATAAAATTTTCATAGATTTTTTGTTTATTTAATTTCAAATCCTGGATTGTCTAAAAGTAATCATTTGAGTTAAGTATTTTAAGCTTTTTCAATTTATAATTATGGCCATACTACAATGAGCCCAACATTTTCATTCACAGCCGTCCATAGTATTGGAGGTATTAAGAACAATCATTTAATAAGAAAAGTAGTTCATTTAGTGTATCAAAAGGAATTTAAGGTTTTGTGGGGAATAATAATCTTTTCATAATTGATCAAGTCAGACTTGTAGGGCTGTGAATCAATTTCCGGCCATTACAAACTCTGAAATTTCTTGTCCTATTAAATTGACAAATCTTTTTTTTTTATTTCCTAAGATCTTAAAAAAAATATGTGAAATAATTTAGGCCTATTTTAAATGTATGTACATTGTATAATTAATTGTTGTTTTTTTTTGTAAACCAAATTCTAAAATTGAAGATGTTATAAGCTCTCAATATTGAATGTAAACCGAAGTATTCATAGAATACTTTTTTAGGTGTCTAGGTGAAGTGTATTATAAGTGTTTATATAGATTGTGTATATCCTTTAAACATTGAAAATAAAATATATATATATATACATAGAAAGAAAGAAAACAACACATGAGACATGTAAACAATACAGGAGTTAGTTGTAATTAGAAATGTCTATAGATTAGTTAATTAAATCAGTGACTTAACTTTTTCTCAGAGTAAATTTTTAATTTATATAATTCAAAAATTTTTTTTTTAAATGATCAATTCACTTATCTAGTGGAATCCTAATTATCCTTTTTTTTTTTTGTGAACAATTTTTTGTTTTCACTTAATTAAATGTTTTGTATAAAATTAAACTTACTGTCAGCTGTTTTTAATTGATTGTAAAGAATTTGTAGCTCCATATTATATGCATACATATACACATAATATGCTTTTAATTTCTCACGTGTTATGTTTAGCAAGCAGTATTAAAAATTTCAACTAATTCCAAGAAAGAAAATGATTGAGAATTGCTTTCAACTAATTAAGTAGCAATATAAAAATAAATTGATAAAAAAAAATTTACCATACTATAAATATCATAATTTTTTTTCAATTTTAAATGCAGCAGAAATTTAAAGATTTCCAAATCAAAATTTTCCTTGTGATCAATATTTCCTGTAGCAGAACTCGAGAAATAATCTCATTAAATTGTCTAATTTATTTATTTGTTACATTATAATATTTTTTCACTATTATGTTAGTGTGATAATTGAGATCTTAAATTGATTACCTAACTCATTAAAACATTCAGTTTATAAAATTTAAGTTTGTCACTTATAAAAGATTTGTGTATTGAAAAAGATCTTTCAAAATTAACAGACGTGACTAAGCATAGCTTGTGTCCCCAGGGAGTTTTCATGGTTGCACCATCACAGTTTTTGAGAGGGGAGTATATTTTGATGGGATTTTGAATTTTTAAGGGAGTTGCATTTCGAGGGAGCTATGAATTTTCGGATTGAAAAGTTTCAAACAAAGGGAATATATGGAACAAACCTTAGCAAGTGTAATTGTATATGATTTATGGTACTTTAATTTCGAATGTTTTAAGAAGAGGTGATCAAGAAAATATCTTCAGGAGGGGAAGGTGGAGATTCATGCGCCATTGACCTTCAGGGGAGGGGAAGGGCATCTCTGGCTTGTGTAATAATGTTTTTAAGATAAACTTGATGAGTCATGTGTTTTAGTAACAACTGCAAATTAAAATTTCTTCAAACAATCAATCTTATTGGTCTAGGGAAAAAAATGAGTTTACCAAGGCTCTAATAACTTTGCTGATAATACATTATAGAAATGTTACTGACATTTATCAAATTCTTGCTTTGGAAAATGTCAATAACGTTTGTATAATTTATCTAATTCATTGAAAATGTTAATAACATTTCACTGTTGACTAGTGTAAAAAGTAGGAATCAAAGTGTTTAGTAACAAAAATTTTACCAACATTTTTGTTTAAAAAAATGGTTAATAGAAATGTTAATAACATTTTACTATTGACTGGAGTATAAAATAGGTATTAAAATGTTAAGATTTAATTAATAACGTTGGTGGTAACATTTCAGGGCAAACCCATCTTTATATTGCACTTTTTATTTTATAGAGGAATAATTTATAAACTGCGAGAGTATTTAGGTTAACGTGAAATTTAAAACTTTAGTATGAAATACTGTAAATACTGAAAAACTATTGTGTGAAAATTTTTTTTACAAAAAGTTAGGTAAAATATCAAATGGATATCAACATAAAATTCACAGATATGCCTACACATGGATTAACATTTCTAGACTTATTTGCTGCAATTTTTTATATAGTGAAAAATTAAAATAGGTTCATGACACATTCTTTAATAATTTTTATGATATTTATTTTGTTAGTTTTTAAGATTTATGACATGATTTATTTGTCAAGAACCATATTCTATTTCTAGCACCAACATTGTAAACAATATTTATTGTAAAAACTATAAAATGAAAAATGCACAAAGACAAACTTTAATCGCTCATATAAGACATAAAACATATAGACTAACTAGTTATTATCAATTGTGTGATGTTAATTATAGTTGTTTTATATTTTATAAACTGTCTAAATCAAATGTAAAAAAAAAATTAAATATTTTTTCTTTTCTTTTTTTTATGTGATGTTTACAATGAGATAAAGATAAGACATGATGATAATTAATAAAAAAAAATTTATATATTTTGTGTATATATTTGTGCCAAAACTAGAGGTAAAAGAAAAATTATGAAAAAAAATGTATGACTAAAAATATATTGGAATGTACATTGGGTCCAATTAGTCATTTCCCTACAGAATTGAGAGCTTATCTGCCGTAAAATTCAGGACCTTTTAGTTTTGAAAAATAACCGAACCACTTTACGTGACATAATCATATCTGAAACGTTCATATATCACAGAATAAAACTATTGTATTTTCTCAGTAATCAATTCTTTGTATTAGCAATTTACATGAACTGTCTGTTAAGATTTAACCCAAGAGAACTCGCTACAAAAGTCACAACTTGAGTACTCGAACATGTAAAATTCAATCTTATATTAAATATATTTACCAATTTGTAAAAAAAAAGTTTTTATTAGCTAGTTAACTAGAAATAAATTATCTGTCTATACCTTTGAAACCACATTTATTTTATTTTCTGATTAGAATCTTTAGTCATATAAACAACAAAGATTTTTCCTTATGAGACTTCTATTTGAAAGTGTTTTTTCTTTCAAGAGTTTTAATAAGCAAATATTTCCACAAAATATTTCACCTAGCTGAACACTACAGAATCGTGTTTTAAAAGAAATTTTTCTATTCAGGTCATTTCATTTCTGGTACACACATTCACCATATGTTAGTTACTTTTCCATGGATGTAATCAAATTTTATGAATCTTCTAGTGCTTTCTTGGAAATAGGCAATCCCCAAGATTGTAGAATATTCAATCATATTATCTTTAAACAGAGGTCTAAAACGGTTTTTCATATCTTTGTTTTTTTTATATCTTTTCTATTACAAATATAAAACATTATTTGGATAAGGAAAGATTTTCCAAGTAAAAGCTCAAGGTCGCTGAAAGTAGTTTGGATTTAAGAAAGTTTGATGTGTTGTGGTAGGAACATTCATGTACTGCAAATTATCTTCTAAAGTTCTTTTTAAGATTTTCTTTTCTTTTTTTTTTTTAACTCTTATTTATTCTTAAGATCAAAATTAGATAGCTGAACAAATTTTGTAAACTTCTAATACGACAAAAATCCTTTAAAAAAGAAAAATTCAAGATACTTCAACACTTTCATTATTGTTCTAATGCACATTTTTATCTAAACTAAAGTAAATCTCACAAAGCGAGTTCTCCCAGGTTAATTATGGAGAAAACAATAATAGGAATCAAAAACAATAGAATGATTTCAAGCAGTAGCAGCATGATGACAATTCAGAATGTATGTTATGAAAATTTCTATTAAAATTACTATAGTTGTATGTGTCCAATCCCAGTAAAATCTGTGTTAATGTGAATCTATGTTTAGATTGTTGTATAGCATTGTAAAAATATACAGGTGAAATTCCTACTTTATAATAAAAGAATATTTGTCACAAACTATTATATATATGGTGTATAGTTGTGTAATTATTGATAGATATTGTATATTTTATAAAAAGAAAAAAATACGAATATCAGCTTATACATTACAAACTTATTGATTTTAGAAACTGTTACATACTTTTGTTTGTTCGACGTGAATATATATATTTACTGTTATAATCATATGCATATGTATGTTAAGAAATGTTCATTATAAAAAATATTGTTGTTACTCTGCAAAAGAAAAATAAAGTTCTTTATAAAGAAAATCTACATTAATGTCACTAACCTCAGATTTTGATTCTTTAATAATTTCTAACTTGAAAATCTGATCATTGAAAAATAATTTCTAGTTGTGAGCATGCACCATTATAATTTAAATGATAGCATCGTACAATTGTAGTGATACAATAATTTCAATTGAAATGGGCATATAAAGTTGACCTTTGTAAATAATTCCTAAAATTTCAACCCTTTTCTTACATAATCCCCCCAAATATTATCCCACAAAGAGCCTTTTCCACTTTATAACATCTAGATCACCTCTACCATCTATTTCCATTTCAAACTGATAGACTCCTGATCACTTCCTTAATATTTTCCCACTTTCATTATTGCTGTACGATATATGAGGGTATCTCTGAGGATCTCGAGGTGAAACTAAAGCGTTTGATAAATTGCTTTGTACGATTCATCTTTGGGATCCCAAGGGACACCTCTGTCTCCTGTTTTTATGATGAGTAGAAGTGACTATCCTTTCTACCGTCATAAATTCCTGGCATCCTTCATACATCTCTGAGCTCCTTCAATTCAAATCCTGTGTTCGCTCCTACAAAACCTGTTCTCAGCCCTCAGACTTATGTACTAGGGCCTACTGAACCGCTGGTTTCAACAAATCTTTCATTATTCAATCCTCATCTCTAAGGAATTCTATCTCTTCCTGTATTCATCACTCCAATATCCTCCACATCTTTAAATCCCACCTGTTCAGTCACTTTCTATCCATTCATTCTCCATAAAATTGTCAATAGGTGTTAATAGATAAGTCGTTAATAGGTATAAATTATTTGTTCTTTTTAATTATTTTTATTTCACTTTTCGTTCCTTTTTTTCTATTTGATTAAAGTTAGAAGATAACTTATACTTTTTTAAAATTTATGTCTTTTTTTTTTTGTGATTATTCTCTGAGGCTTCAAATTACATTTTTTGAGTCTTGAACTGTTTTACCAAAAGAATTTTAATTAAGAATTCATTGAAGATAATATTTGTAACTGTATTGAATTTTATTTAATTGAATCAAATTGTTGTTCTAATTCATTCCTTTTTATTTTAATATATACATGCATGTTCAAGATGTCGATAATATAATGAAAATAAGGTTTTTAAAAAAGAAATTTGTTTTAGTCAAATAACAATAATCAAAAGGGTTATCTAATTAAGAACAATTTACTATAATAATAGTATATTAAATAAAATATGAAATTTTCCAATACAAATGTAACAGTGATACTATATACAGAACAATATTATGCAATGATATATAACAAATAATAATTTTGAAAATAATAAATATTCAAGGTAAAACTATGAATTTGATTTTGCTTCAAAAGGAAGAAGCTGCATATACATCTTCTTTTTGTATTCGGCCAACAACTTATCAACAGTCCTAAAAAAAAAAAAAAAAAAAAATTAGAAATAACTGATAGCAGTCCACTCTATTGAAATATAATGATGTAGAGATGGTTGACCGTGAAATAATATGAGGAGTTGATCGGGGGGAGGGGGAGGGGGGGTGCGATCAAATAAATTTATTTGACAGCACCCTCCCCGATCAACTCCATCTCATATTGAAATATATGGTATATGCGTTAATTTAAAGATCATTCATTGCACCATTAAACAAAAAAAAAAATCCATTAAAAAACTTATTGTTTTACTATTTTCATGTTAGTTTCATTTTTAATCGATTGATTGTTAAAGCACCAAGAAATGGCACAATTATTTTTTCAATTTTTACTAAATCATGTGGAATGATTAATAAAAAGGCAAGCAAGCAAGTTTTGAAATCTAAAGTAAAATTTTATACATATATGTGTACACAATATATATATATATATATATATATATATATATATATATATATATATATATATATATATATATATGTGTTAAGAAAAACAAATAAAAATTAAATACACGACACTGTAATTTGAAAAATTAACATTTTTAAATATTAATATTTCAAAAGAATAAAAATTGAAGTTCACTTACTTTTTACTTTCTTCGTCTAAAGCAGGAATAGCATCAAGAGCTTCACTGAAGAAGTTTCTATAAAATAAAAAGGATAAAATAATACTAATAAGTAACTGTTAAAATATCGTTATATTTAATAAGTACATCTTCTTAATATGAAAGAATAAAATAGTTATATACATAAAATAAGGTTCGAGAGAAACATTCTGTAAATTTTCCTAACACAAACATAGCTATCTCAAGAAACAAATTTTCTAAATACTGATATTTATGTTTCTTTTAGCTAAAAATAATTTGAATAACATAATTTTAAAGGGATGAAAATAATAAAGAGAATTAAACAATTTGAATCATTTATAAACTTTTTTTCTTGAATAAAATATTAATTTATAATAATAACAACAATAACAGGCTGCACTATACTAGTGAGAGAATACCTAAGAAGAGAAAGACAATATCAATTAATAATTTGGCATAATTGGTTCACAAACACAAAGATCTGGCCAAATATTATAAATTTACTGAGGTATCAAAGCCTTACTATTGTATCACTAAAAATTCTGCAGTCATATTTTAAAATCAATTTAAAAATTTTTTCAGAAAATATTAATATCCTTTTAGAATTTGCCGAGAAGAGATATTATGTACTGTATCAACAAATGTTACTCCTGTGTAAAAGATATAATAATGATTAGTAAATAACCTGGCTTGTGTAGTGGTGTATTTCGCAAGTGCATGCTCCACGGCTGTGATATCTAGTGTCGCCTGAATAGCACCAGCTCGGCTCATGTGAGAAACGCACAGCATAAGTCTCGATAGTTCTTCTGCCACAGTTTCAACAACTTCAGTAAGGACTTCTTCTTTAAGCCAACCGCAACGTCTTTCTACCTGGATAGTTCATTTTAAATGTGAATAAAAATGAGTTAAAATGAATTAATACATAAAATTATCTATTTTATTAATCAGCATTTAGAGAGCTCCCTGAATTTTTATTTCACTCAAAGTGATGTACCCAAACTTTATTAGGACCTTGAATAAGTTCTCGCTATTTTTTGGGAAAATTAATCTTTTAGTTAAAGTTAGTGGTAAAAACAAGTCACTGAAAGTATTGTTCATCAGTAGCCACTACTTTATCCCAACTCCTGGCAGCATATGAATTCCACGTTAGAAAAAAACTTGTCTTTTAAGGCTAACTAAGAATCTTTTTTTGGTATCTTCATTACAATGGAAGTGCTGCTCAGTCAGGAACTATGGAATCATGTACCATAGAATTAAATGAGTGATATTAGGAATGGGCTATATCCAGTAAATACAGCAAATGAGGAAGGACTTCCTATTTAAGCATTTTCAAGTAGTTTTTTTTTGCCAGTTTCATGACATGTAGAGAAGTGTTACATGTTATTAAATCACTTAGGTCGGGTCTCTGCTTGTATATCGGTCCATTTTTCTTTATTGCTTAGCTCAAATGCATCAATTGTAGTTTATAGTAATCTCTCCTGATAGTTTCATTCAGTTTAAGCAGCTCATAACAAAATGTACATAAAATACACCATAGCGATCCTACAAAAATGTAGAGAATCTTCAAACCATGGATATGTGGCTTTTCTCAGATCTTGAAGTATGGCCTGGTTTACCTCACAATTTTTTAAGTTTAGCATTATCATATGTAACCATTTTTCATGCCCAGTCACAGTACAATGCAAAAACTTCAATTCATAAAGCACCCAATTTCCTTGTTTCTGGATCATTCCTAATGCTTTCAAATATTTTGAAACTGTTTTGTCATCTAGTAGTAATGATTTTCCAAGTTTAATTAGTATCTGACATGAGTCAGATAAAGCAATTTTTCCGATTCTTTGTCTTCTTTGACTTTTTCAGTGCATCTATTTCTTTATCCTTAAGACTAGAATCAATATTTTTGAAGCGCCGAAAGCAATCTCTACATATAGTCTCCATCAGAGCATGCTCACTGTAAGTATAAACTAGAATTTTGTGTGCTTAAGCTGCAGATATCTTTTGAGTAAAATAGTGCAATAAAATTCCATGCAAATATTCTTTACTTGGCAAAAAACTCGACATTTTTAAAATTATCAAAAAAATAATTGTTTATACTGGCTAATTAGCATATACTGAAGTCCAAGCTTACGGACAGTAGTTCTTAGAAATCGTGTTAACATCTAAAATGAAATGCACATAGTACTGGTTTTCAGGAAACAGCGAGAACTTATTCAATATAAGAAACATTGAAGTAAATAAGAATGGCAAAGTTTTATTGCCATGAGTCAAAATAATAAATGACTGAATGTGTAACAATAATTAACAGATACATTTAATAGTAATTACATAGGCTAATATAGTGGCAAAACATATTTTTGCAACAGTTAGTTGTTAATTATGTCTGAAAGATAATAAATTATCAAAGAACTAAAAGTTATGAGAAAAATCGGTGCTTTACCATGAGAAATAAATAATAATCCATTATACTAATTAAGGAATTCAGAAAAAGTAAATGAAAAACGTAAGTAATAATATTTTCTTATTATGGCAAAAATACACTTTAGCACTCATAACATGCATGCCCTGGAATGTACAATGAAATGGTTTAGTTTTTTAATAATGTAGACAACATTGAAAAACATTTAACACTTATCGGTTTTTGTACTTCTCACTAGGTGCTAGTGGTTCTCACTAGGTTATAGCTGGTTCCAGTAAATATAAATAAAAAATGTTCAGTATTGTAAAAATAACCTTTTTATGTTGTCACATAAAAGGTGACTTACGACCGATAAGGGTTAAGATTCAATCATTCCAATTGACTAAAGTTACAAATATGAGCGGGTATTGCCAAGCTAAAAAGATGTGAAATTACAATCTAAATGCATAAAATATTAAAAAAATAATGTACCTGAGCATGAACAACAAGAACATTAGCTATTATTTCATTTGCATAGGGTCGAACTCCAACAGGAGTGAAGTCAGCTTCCCACTCAAACTGCCCTATATACATTGATGGTTCTACTGTCCCAACAAGCGGGTCTGTACGGTTCTCTATATAACATGCAGTAAGTCGTGATTTCAGAGACCTCAGGTCTGAAGTAGGTTTTGACAAATCCAGAGAAGGAAGTTCTGCTTCATTCCAAGTCTTTTCCATTCTAGGTACTGTAACTTCGCAAGAGTACCTGCAGTTAGAAATGCAAGCTAGAACACGATCTTCCCAATTCTGCAAAGATAAAAAACAGAAAATGTTTGCATTAAAATCTGTAATAACAGTAAATGGTAGTGATGAAAAAAAAAAAACAATAAATGAGAGCAGGCATATTATCATTATCACTATCCACATAGTACACACATTTCCTTCCTTTAATTGACAATCATTTACAGATTGTATTAAATAATGCAATAGTAACAATCCAATGCACATCATCATTTATTTAATAAAATTACAGACTAGAAAATAATTAGAAATAATAAATCAATGTTTAAAAATCAAAGAAGATTTAATATTATTAAAAAATCTGGAAATCAAACCAAATGATTAATGTAAAGATGTGAAGAACTTGAGAAAACAAAGTTTTTCGACAGATCTTAAATATACTTAATGTTCACTTCTACAAGATTTGGGTTTATTGCAAAAAGTCATTAAGTACCATTCGATAAAATTAAATCACTATATTCTTTGATGAATTTTCTTCTTGTGAAATCAGAGCATTGTGCTCTTGATGTAACCATTTTTAATAGATAAAAGGATTTGGGTCATTTTGATGCACTTACTATGTTTTCATGTTGATAAATAAGGTCAAAATTTATAAAAATGTATATTTTAGTTCCACTTAAAATGTATATAGAGACTTTTTGCGATAAACTTATGATGTATTGGAGACCTTCAGCTATCAAGATGTATTGCTAATATAAGATTCTTAGCAAATTGCTAAAAAATAAATAGATAAAACAAAACTAATAACCATCCAACAATAATATGGTTTACTTACTAAAGTATGCGACAGTGATGTTCTAAATGTAGGAAAAGCTAACTGAGAGACAGACATAGATTGTTCGTCATCATTAATGTCTGACAATGTATCTAAACACTAAAAAGAAAAAAAATAACACAAATTATCTAAAATAAAATAAGAATAAAAACAAAAGTTCAAGAAGCTATAAATAATTTAGAGTAGGTGAAATGCAATGATTTTTTTATTTATTTATATTAGATATAATTTCACAGACTAAAAGTACATCAGTCTGCATTGATTATCAAATAAACACTAAGAATGTTACTAATAATTTAAAATTGCAGATGTTGATTATTAAAAAAATAAATCGAAAAACTGTGGATAATTTTAATATGCATGGACTTACATATATTAAGAAATTTTTCACTAAGAAAATAAAAGAATCAGGGGTGTTAAAAAATGCAGAAGAGAACTCTTAATGCAGAATCAAAGTTTACAATGGAAGAGAAGCAGAGATGATCGTCCCCCCAAGGTTGATGGTGAAAGAACCTACTCCCCCACCCTCCTCTAGAGATATTTTATTGCTCACTTTTCTTAAAAACAAAGCAAGCTAAGGAAGAATTAGAAATCATACATGACTACACTTGCTGTGGTCTGTTCCATTTTTTTGTCTCTTAGTCCGAAAATTCATAACCCTGTTGAAATTTGCTCCCTGTATAATTCAAAAATCCATCAAAATATGCCCCCCTTCAAAAATTTTGATGGCATAACTTGCACCATGAAACACCCTTCAGGGCACCTCTGAAGAGAAGGAGCAGAAGGTGAAATGAAAGATGTAATATAAGATGGTTAGGAAAATAGTGAATTCTGAAATTTATACAACCTTTAGTTCTGTAAGAAATGGTGTGGTATGGTCTTGTCAAATGGATTTCTAAGGAGGTATAAATGCTGATAATAAACGCCTATTGTACCTGAATATAATTGTTGAAAATGGCATGAGCGTGTTCATTAACTTCTGATTTCATGGCTGGATTACTAAACAATTCAGCTTCTTTAGGGCCTAGTTTAAGAGCTGATTCCTTCAGAATACTCAAAGAATCATTGAATAATTTTTCAAAAAGGCTGGGCTGAAAATAATCATAAATGAACGGTAATGAAGTTGTAAGGAGAAAAATATTAAATATCAGTAAAAATAATTCACACCACAATAATCATTTATGGCTAATGTAAGTTATAGAAATTATTAATATAATAAATCATAATAGAGGTTTTGCGAGTCTCAGTATTTTTAATCATTACTAAAAAAATGTAGCTTAAGTTATATGTAGCTTATAATCAATCTTAAGTTCTATAAACAAGATTCTTTAAAAGTAGCTAACCAACATTATGAAAATAACAATAAATTCAACAAACTACAATAATGAATTCTAAAAACATGTCTAGAAGAACGATTTCAATTAATTAGAAGTTAAAAAAAAATGCAGATCATGGCAGCCTATTAATGAGTGATAATGTTGATTTTTAAGCTATTCTAAAGAATATATCTCGGCCTTTCTACTTTGTGAAAAAAAACAGGTGGTAACATGCATTCCTGCCATAGTTGGAGAACAGTGAAGCAACAGCGCAGAAAACAAATGATAATTAAATATTAAATTCAGATAAAACAAACCATCTTTCAAAATGACCAATAGATTTTTGATGAATATAATTTAAAAGTAAAAAGACTTACGAGATGCGTGATAGTTCCGTGAGTTGAATCATGGATAAGAACCCAATCCTCTTTATCAACCAATCGTTTAGTTTGCTCTGCAGTAGTCAAAAGAATATTTTTAACACATTCAATTCTAAAATTCATAAACAAAAAAATGAATAATAAATTAAACAAATATTTATAAAAATAAACTAAAAAAAAAAAAATTTAATCACCTAAAAAACTGGACCAGTGCTAGGATAGTATCGTGTGGAATATGTTTTAGAGCAACAAGAACAGCTCTAACAACTTGCAAGCAATTTGGCCAGCTTCCTGTCAAACCTTTACCAGCCACCTCTCTCACCAAGCGACACATTTCCTTTAAGCAATTTTCTACACCTGCCTTTACAATACACCGTCATCAACATATACATATATATATATATATATATATATATATATATATATATATATATATATATATATACATATATATATATATATATATATATATATATATATATATATATATATTATAATATTAAAAATCAATTAAATTTTTTAATCTAACCTTGAATTCGTCAAGTTTGTTTTGGTCAAATTTTGTGCTAAGTTCACCGCTGAAATATGATTGTCCCAGTGACCATAGATCTGGGATAAGTATAGAGATAATGTCACAGAGATCCTCAATACATTCCACTCTACAGTTGATTGCAGCCTATGTACAGTCAATTTATCAAATATTGTTTAACCTGAATCTTATATACAAAGTGCTGAATATTGCCTATGGTCTATTTTTTAGAATTTTCTAATTAGTAAAATTGTATTAATGAAGTACAAGTACTTTTCATAAATCTTAAGTATAGTCTGTATGTGAAACTTTTGTGACAGAAAAAAGTTTATTCAAATGCTGCTCTGCTGAATATAAATTTGATGTAGATAACTTTTTCTTACCTGTTTATCTTGAGAATTTTTATCTCTTTTTCCACTTTTAGGTTTTACACCTGGAATTATTAGCAAGTATAAAAAAGGGCACAATGCAAATTTATAATATAATAGTAATAATTGTATATACTGGCTATTTGTTCTGAATAAAAAGAATGACAGGCATTTAACTGCTCCATGATGAAGTTCATTCTTACAGTGATACCTTCCCAACCTGGATCACCTTCATATTCCAACTGTACCAAGTTTCTGGAAATAAACATAATTAACGTTAATTTTATGCAAAATTGTACAAACAATAAATTTTGTAGCAAATCAATATTTTCAGAAATAAACTTTTTGATAATCCATAAAATTCTACTTGAAATTACTTCATGCATAAAGGAATTTTGTAGCCCTTAGCTAAAATAAACATCTGTTTATTTAATAATTTTCAAAGACATGTAAGATAAATTAATAAAACAAAATGAAAAAAATTATTTTGTTCTAGGACTAAAGTCTTCCAAGACAGAAAATAGAAATTTGTGCATTAGTCGGGCATTAAGAAATACTAAACAGCACTTATCAATTAACTGTAAATACCAATCATAATTACAGAAGCAAGTAATTTTTACATGGTACTTGAACTTTGAAGATGAAGTAGGTAGTGGAATAGGAGTTGTTTTAAGCAATTTGCGGACAAGGATTGACATAAGGAGATAGGTAAGCACTTCCAAAAGGAGGTAGCATAAATGATGAAGAATTAGCTGAAGAAAGTCCTTTTATGAGAGAGGATGAGTAGATAAATAGATTGAGAACTGGTATTAATAGAGTAGGTATAGGAGCGTAGAATCTGAATAGTTGGTTCTGAGGACTTGGAAAAAGAAAACACCAAGGAAGAATTACCATCAGGAAAAAACACAAAATATGAGTATTACAAAACAATTCATGAGTATCTTCAATCTAATATCCAGCCTTGGATTGCTCCATACACCAAACAACCATAGTCGAAGTGGAGTAAAACAAGGAGCAGCCTAATTTTTGGAGAAATAGAATCACAGAATTTTAGGAGTTGTTTAAGGAAAGTTATGCATTTCAAGGTAATCAGGGAAATATGGTTATTCCAGGAGATCGAAGGTTACTCCTAGGTTTTTTAATTTCAGAAGGAAATAGCTGGGACGGTTATTGAGGTACAGAAGTGGAGAGAAAGGAAGGGAGCTAATGAGATGTCTGGAACTGATGAGGATAACCTTAGTTTTATCTGCATTCAGCTTCAATTAATTTACTTTTGCCTTTCAATTGATACAGTCGATGTCCTCTTGTAGTTTTTGAGGAGTCTCAGGCATATTAGGAGGTTGGAACGATTGGTAAGTTTGGAAATCATCAGCATATTGATGGCAATGGGATTAATAAATGGATTCAGGAAGATTACTAATTTAAATAGAGAAAAAGGTGGAAGAGAGTGAAGATCCCTGATACTGATACTGGTGACCTTTATTTAAACGCCAGAGATATTAATACCAATGGTCAATATCACCTGTCTGAAACCTTTTTGTTCTTTTTATGAAGTTCAAAAGAAATGGCCATTTGATAGATTAAGTTTTCTGTTCTAGGATTCAGTGCGAAACCAGAAGCCTGTATCGAAGCAATGTAAATCTGTAACATTCTGTAATATAGTGAAGGGAAGTTTCAGGTCCTTGTCGGTACAGATGGTAGAGTTCATTTTTAACTATTCCACAAATCTTTAGATGTCTTTTAAATCTGCAATGGCCTGTTCATATTTCAATAGTTAGTTGGATTTCTTATTTAGGCTTAGCAGCCACTTAGTTCAAGAGGGAAAGCGTTTTTAATTATGTTGGATTTGCCTGAGCCCAGTGCATTCCCTTCACTTCTTACCTGATTTTTCATGTGTAAAATTTTTTCTAGTCCCATAATATAAATCTCAGCTCCATTTTTTAGCAAATGTCTCCAATGCCTGTTTAAAATCTCGCATCAGCGTGTAGGTCATTTTGGGGGACTCTAGAGCTTGACGTGTTGATTGACTATCCAAATAGATAGTAATGCTAGCCCTCTCCCAGTTGAGAACTTCCAAGCATTTGTCTGCAGATAATATGGCAAATACGTCCACTTAAAATACGGTAGAATGTTTGCCTGATGTGATGTGTAATTATGTGTTTAAATTCTTAAACTTAAGTCTCTCCATTAGTAAAACAGAGTAGATAGTAGTGAGATAGAAGATGAGGAACACCTTGTGTTAATTGGAGGTATGAAGACTGAGATTTGTTAGGAATGGCAACTGCCTGGGAGCAATGGGATATGAAATTAATAACCTCTCTTTTTAAAAGCATTTCTCCTAATTTTTTACAGAATGATGGAAAATGGCTAAAAATTATCTTATTTTAGGATAATACAGATATTTAAAAAAAAAAAGTGATTGTCAACAAGGAGAATTCCTGCAAGAGGCAAATTAGGAGAAGCAAGTATGGAATATTGCCTGGTTGCTCATAGGAGATCCAGAATTTAATTTTGAGAGAGGACTCTTTTTTAATAGCATTGAATATGAAAGAAAATATATAAAGTTATTTTAAAATTACAGAAACAATAGTCCTTTTAAAGATATTTTTTTTTTGTCTTGATATATGCTTACATTTAATAAGTGTATTTTTTTTTTTTATTTAAATGAGTATATGTGGTGATTTTTTAAGCATTTGGCTCAGATCACTCAGAGAAAGTAAAATAGAATAATAAAAAAAAAAAAGTTTTTATTTTGGTGGGCTTCGGCTTGAAAGATATCATTATAACCTCATAATGACATGTTAAAAAAGAATTAAAATAAAGAAATCAGATTGTAGAAAATATTGACCACTACCTAATAATCTTCTTTTGGTTATCAAGACTACTTGGCATAGTATGTAACTTTTTTTTAAGCTCCTCTTTGATCTCAGCTACTTTTAACCTCACTTCAGTCAATACATCCTTGAAAAGCTAAAAATTGAAATTTAATAATATAAATTATAATTTAAAAAACAATAAGTGAGTTGCATAAATATTTTTTTTTTTAACTATTGATATAAAATGAATCTATAACTTTGATACTTAACAATAAGAGTAATAATAAATAATGGAAAATGTTCAGAATCCTAGCTTTACACCTGCTTATTATTGATGTTTTTGCTAGCAACAGATATAAAAAATAATAATTTCCTAGACAATATAAAAAAAACAACAACACGATTGATAGAAAAATGCAAATGTACCTTCACTTCAGTTTTACCAAAAAGATTCTGAGCTCTAGAATAATCACTTATGATAGCATCATAATCCGATTTTCTCTGAATTGCTGTAGGTAATGTGAATAAGAACTTAAACCTATGGAGTACTCCAAGTGCATTTCTCGTTCGATCTGCTTTTTCTCTCCCCTTCAGAACTCCATCAAATAACATTTTGCCTTCATTTCTACATTCTAAACAAAAATAATAGTATTAACTGAAAACCCAAAAGGAGTAGAAAAACAGAAAAAACGATTATAATAACTTTATAATTGGTAAATGGTTGACTGTCGTGAATAATGAAGATAAGAATAGTTGGGGTGATCAGTCAAATAAGAAGGCAAAAATAAATGATACTATTTATTTTGACATTAGCCGACGTTTCGACCTGAAGTACAGGCCATCATCAGGGCTAAGAAAAGAACCAGTTAACAAGGTATGAGAAACATAAGTAGTGTAGGTAAAAAAATTAAAGTAAAATTCAGTTGTTAGAATAATGACAATAGTAAGAAAATTTATTTATTTATCATTTATCTCTTTGTTCTTACTATTGTCATTATTCTAACAACTGAATTTTACTTTAATTTTTTACCTACACTACTTATGTTTCTCATACCTTATTATCTGGTTCTTTTCTTAGCCCTGATGATGGCCTGAACTTCAGGTCGAAACGTCGGCTAATGTCAAAATAAATAGTATCATTTAATTTTGCCTTCTTATTTGACTGATCACCCTAACTATTCTTATCTACATTATAATAACTTTAATTTAAGTAGTACCCTTGATTGCTTCGACTATTTTTTCTGTTCTGTCAAGTCCAAATGATTCAACGTCCTTTTGGAAAGCAACTTGTAAAGCCTCCAATACTTCTAACTGTTCCATAACAGCACTAACATTTCCCTGATTAGCAAAGGTAAAATTATTAAAGAAAGGTATTTTATTATTAACAAAATATAAAATAAATAGTTTAGTTGATGAAGAAATAAATATAATCTATCAGACCTTTAAAAATGAAAGTTGGCCTTCCTGGTGAGAATCGACTTTTCTTCTAAGGAACGCAAGGCCTGCACGGAGATCATCAAAAGAAGAATTTGAATGATTTTGAAGCAAAAACCAACAAGGAGAAAAATTCTCTGAAGATAGATCACCATTACAACCAGGAAACATTTCTTGTAAATCATCCTCCGGAAATTTATTTCTATGAAAAAAAAAATATGTGTATTCCCAGGCAGACATAACAATGCTCTAAGTTGCAATATGAGCTGTGTACATACTCATTTGCTTCCAAAGAAAGTCCTAAAGGATCATCTAACTGAATGGATTTAGTCGATCCCCACCCTATAGATTGAACTTCTTCAACCCATACAGCACTTTCCTTCAAAGGGCCAACTGCTTCATGGTAACCTCGAAACTGGACTGTTGATGTACCAGTACCTCCAGTTAGTGTTGTAATAATGATATCCCCTCTTCCCTTGCCAGGGCCTGATCTGGCAATTATTTTGTTGGGCGATTTCCATTCAGCAGATAGAAGACAATCACACCCACAAATTGATACTCCTGGAAGTAAAGTTATCTTTGATTTACAGCTCAACGTGAAGTGGGAAATAAATAATATTTTCATTTTCAAAATAAATAATATTTTTCTAACACACTAGATACCAGGAAAACTATTTTTTAAAATAACATATATACAACAAACCTATTATATCAGACTGTTTATTCCCTAAAAACTCCCCTCTGATGGTCACTCTGGTCCCAGGAGGTCCCTCTTTAGGGGATATACCTGTCACAACAGGAGGAGGCATCTGTCAAAAAATAAAGTCTCCACCTTCAAATATCGCACTAATCAGCTTTTGTAGACTACAGGTAACCTGATGTTTATAACCTTCCTCAGAAGGTTCGAGAAGGTTATACCTTTCATAAAATATTTTAGTGCAATTTGTTTACTGTTCTGTTCTAGTAAATAAATGAATAAAAATGGCTGGTGAAGTTTTTGTAGATGCTCTTCCATACATTGACCAAGGTTATGATGAACCTGGGGTTAGGGAAAGTGTAAGTGGTTGTGTAGTTAACTAAATAAGAACTGTTAATTTGCTTTGATTCCAGAAACTCATTATCTTATTTTACTCTTTAGGCATTAAGTCTTGTTGAAGAAGAAACAAGAAGATATAGGCCTACTAAAAATTATTTAGAGCAATTACCTCCTATAAATATTAATGCCTTTGAGGTAAGTAGTTTTGAGCAACTTCCAATATTTTTTGTTTACAGTATTTTCCAATAATTTTCACTAATTTCATTCCATAGTAGTACTTCATACAGTTTAAATGAACATTCTATTTAATATATGGTGTAACCGCAGTTTCATTTTATACTGTTGTAGACTGAATTAATGAAAAATGAATTTGAAAGATTACAACAGAGATTGCCCATGGATACCTTAAGCATGAAACGATATGAACTTCCACCTCCTCCTGCAGCAAAAATCTCAGATTTGTCAGCATGGAATGAATGTGTAGATAACTCAATGGCACAATTAGATCACCAGGCTACTAGGTATACAATTTCATGTTGTTGTTTCAACCAAATTATTTTTTTACTTTGGTCCATGGAAAACAGCTGTATGCTTCTTTTTTTTTTAATTTGAAAACCATCATAAAGATTATGCAAAAAAAATGTCTGGTTTTGTAGTAGTTGGAATAGAAGTAGTGCTGGACAGAGTTAAAATTATTTTTACTGTCCTGTCGTATTATACCAGAACGAAAAAGGTACTTTCTTATTCTACTGAACCCTGAAGGTACATACACACAGTACAGGATATGTCTTGGCGACATAGTATCACAAGTATCATGGTGGTTTGTCAATATGTTATGTTTCCATCTGCCATTTATGACTATCTGTCACGGGCGGATCTACAGGGAGGGAGAGCTTTGGGGCTGAAACCTCCCCAAAATGGTAAAATATAATCATGTTTTATGGAAAAAATATTAAAAAATTATCTCTTAAAGTATTATTGTTCGTGTAATTACATTTAAAAGGACTTTAGGAATCACTTATTTCAAATAGGTATTTAGTTTATTCCTTTTTATTATAAGTAATTATCATTATTTTTATGAAAAAAAAAGCTTTCGGGCTGAAGCATATCCCTCCCCCAAAATTAAATCCTGGATCCACTAGTGCTATCAGTTGGTGACAGAGTGGCAATCCACAGGGATACAGGCAAAAGGATTACAGATCACCAACCATGCCATATTGCATTAGGTGGAGCCTAGAGTTAACAGAATATATTCCAAGAATCCTGCAACCTAGATCGGCTATTGTTTTTTTATAATACAGTTTTATATTTCTTACATTATTATAAGTTTGAGGATTGAAATATTAAATTGATTTAAATGTGTGTTTATAATATTTCATCTATTATGTTATTAGTCCTTTTTAAAAATTAATTGACATTTTCTATAATTATTAACTGGGTGATCCCTAAAGCTGGTATAATATGTAGGTAATATTATATAGAAAAGGTAATAGCGATGGATAAGAAAAAGAAATAAATGTTACAATTATTTGCTTTATTTAGAACAGATGATAATGTTTATAAGCAATGCTACAACTATGCATTTAAAAAATATTAACATTATTATTCTGTTTATACATGGTAAGCATCTTTTTGCTGTCCATTAGTTTTTCACCCATTCATTATTGCAAAATATTATATTACACATTTTTCAATCATACATCAACTCTATCCAGGAATTTGACTCCTATAAATTCATCTCCAGTTACAAGTTCTGCACAACCACGCTTTTCTAAATTTTTGAGGACTTTAATCAAAACTTCATGTTGCATTCCATTAAATTCAGTATTGTTAGAAGTTTGAAGTTCATAAAGAGTACACACATTATCTATTTGTCCTTTATCTTGAGCCCAAGAATAGATAATATCTGCCCATTCATCAATTTTGTGCCAATAAATATACCATCTACTGCGTGCTTTATCTGATGGCTCTGCATTACCAGTTGACATCAACGCTTCTAGAACCATTAGTATACCTTCAGTGGATAAGGACCTGTTTATCTTCTTGTTTGAAAACAAGGGTGTTTCCATTACCTCATTAATGTCCAGTACATATTTTTTAGATACTTTTTGATATTTTAACACAAGTTTACACCAAACAGCTAACTGAGTCTTCTTTGTTGTTTCATTGGGTTGAATTGTAAAGAAAGGAGGAAAATCATATTGCCATGGCCAATCCAGGTCCATTTTATACTCATCAAGTTAATAATTTTGTGAAATTCAGCTACTGATCACAAATTCAAAGAGTTCAAAAACAAATCCCATCACAGTACATTTGTATTATGATTTTATCATTCTCAGAATTATTTATAACCACTTATAAAACCCTTCCACTATAATAAATAAGCGTTGGTCAAAGTAACCTGCCACTTTAGTACCTTCCTATCACTGTGACCAATGCTTTTCATGTTTTGTAAATAATAATTTTTTGGTTATATACATTTTAATAATTATTAATTAAATAGTGGTCATAATGTTTCTTTTTTAATTATGTTTTATTCTTAAATATTTTTTTTAGTATATAATTTTATTAAAGGTGACAATTTAAAAATCTCCTCCCCCAACTCCAGATTTCTGTCTCATTAATATTGTTTTCATATCCATGAGGAAATGTATATATTTGATAATATAGAAAGTTTTGCCATCAATGCCGTATTATACTTATTTGTACTTTGAAGCATACCTTAAAAAATTTTTAGGACATGTAAATTTACATCCATAAGATGTTATTTAAATTTTATCTATTAAATTAAATGAAGATCTGTAAACAACTGTAATTTTGAATTAGAGATAGATTATTGTTTACAGAAGTATCAATCTCTACTATTATTCTTAAATGATGTTTTTAATTGTAGTAGTTGTTAACACTTCTTATTGTATTTGCTATCTATTTTTTTTTATTATGTAGTTGTGTAAATGGAATACATAATTATTTATATCAAATCCTTTCTTTATAATTAAAATTTTAATTTTAAAGATTAAATTTAATTAGATGCACTGTACCAGAATCACAAATTTACTTAATGAATAAAAATGTGAAATTCCCCTAGTAGAAATTGTATTTGATTTATATATTTTTTTTTTGTTGTTAAAAAAATGAGGTTTCTGTTAAATATATACAGTGGGTCAAAAAAGTATTGGCTTACTCCAATTTTTATAATAATCTCAATAGGATTAAGATAGTTTCCAGAAATAATAACAAAGTTGTCTTTGAGTATTATAGTTTATAAGCAATGCATGTTCAGAATTCAAAAGCTATGTTTAAAGAGTAAATTTTGAGGACCAAAAAAGTATTGGCACAGTTTTAAATGTTTACTATTAGCTCTAGTCAAACAAATTACTCCTTTTTTTTCGAGAGATTAGAAATGAGGATGAATGATAAAACAATAAAAATCAATCTTTGCTGTATACTTGACATAACAACATGGGTAAACCAGTCAATATTGTGTCAGTTTAAATGCATACATCATTAAATTACATTCTAATGGACTTAGCTACTGACAAATACTGAATAAATTAGAAATTGGTTTTAGTATTGTTCAGAATATTGCACAAAAGTTTAGAAAGTTTTAAATAAACCCTGTTCTAAATGGCCACCAAAATTAAATGGAAAGGCACGAAGATATATCCATCAAATTGTTGAGCAAAATCACACTTCATCAGCCGCTGAAATAGCATAAGAGGTTGCATACACTTTAAATACCACCTTCTGACAGAAATATAATTTATATATGTAATTATTATGTCAGGTTTCAAAGGAAAAATTCCTTTATTACAGAGGTGAACCGCAAAAGAAGACCTTAGTTGGCCAAAACTTAAGTTAATAAAGAATTCTGGAAAAATGTTATTTCTTCAGATGAATGTAAGTTCAACATATTTCATTCTGATGATGACAAGTACATTTGGCGGAAACTTGATGCTGAGTTTTAAGCTCAACATTTGAGGTAGGTCCACTGTAAGACACCGAGGTGGATGTGTTCAAGTTTTGGGGGACATGTCATGGAATGGTGTGGAACTTAGCCTTTATTGACAATATTATGAATGCCAACCAATTCATTCAAAGTCGACATTTTGCGACATAATTTAACAAGTTGACCCGAAAATATGAGGATCAAAAATGCATTTATCTTCCGATAGGACAATGATGCCAGGCACACAGCAAATAAAACAAAAGAATGGATTCTGTACATTGGTCCTAGCCAATGGAAAACACCACCACAGTCTCTGACATAAATGCCATAGAATATGTTGGATTTTAAAGTAAGAAAAAATAAAATTTCAAAAAATTCTTTTAAAAAAATTTTGTCAGAGAAATAGTGTAAAATGGGCTAGACCTAACTCAAAATCTTGTTTTGACAATTCAATGGTGTCATAGATGCCAATGATGACTAAATATTTATACATTTCTAGATCATGAAATAACCCTCAAATGAAAGTGTGCCAATACTTTTTTGACCGTGTTGAAGTGATTTGTTTTACTATAATTTTTTTAATTTTTTTTTTTTTTTTAAAGCCTGATCATACAAATCTTACAACTTGTAGGCCTCCCATAATTAATGGGAGATAAGGTCTAACTTCCCGCAGGGACCAGCCGTAGCAGTAGGGATTCGATCCTACGATCTGATTTTTTTAATTAAGTAAAATTTTTTTTCCCCAATTATGTATTTTTTAAAATCTTCATTAAATAAAAATGTTTAACTTATCAATTTAGAATTTTTTCACAATGAAACATGAAAAAAGTTAAATGTGCCAATACATTTTTGATCCATTGTGCGTATATATATATATATATATATATATATATATATATATATATATATATATATATGTGTGTGTGTGTGTGTGTATATGTATATATCGCAACTTAAGATTTTCAACAAAACGGGAGTTTGCAGTATTTGGCTCAATTATGTGTAGTTGTAAGAGTTTATACTATATATACTACAAAGGTGACTTATAGTACACCTGCTATAAGTAATTTTCTTAATAGAAAAATAGCAGAGGGAAATAAAATATGTAAAAAAATTGGTTTTTATGATTTTCTGTAAGAAAAATTCAATTTTTAAATACATTCTTTTGCACTAACAGTAGCGATATCTAGTCCCCTCACCTCAATTTTTGTGTGTTCCCACTGTAGATAGGTAGGATAGGGGTTTTAGGGCGATAAATTGCTCAATTATTACGCCTGTAGAATTCCTAACTAATAATATTGCCATTTCTTAACTTATACAATGTTCTGTTACAATTGTATGTTCTAATTTTCAAATTAACGTTTTATATTATTTAGGTAGTTTCTTCCTCTTTTTTTTTTTTCCTTACATAAACTTTACTATAAAATAGTAAATACTATTATACGAATAGTTAAGACAACTGCCTCGGGATACCTCTTGAACAAAAAGCAACTGAGAATTTGAACATTCCTTGATAATGTACCTTAATATTGAGTGGAGTAGAGCACTGTTTGCATTTCACTACTTCTTTATTAATTAAGTGTCCATCAGTGAGTAGCGAGTGACATGTTCTCAATCTTGTAATCACCACCTCTTCTCTTCTGTTATCTCTTATGTAATGTTTTAACTATGGCTAGAAAGGTTGGTTAGGTCCAGATTCGTTCCCTGGATCCATTTCAAAAAATTGCAACACGTCCAGGCTGGAATCAAACAGGCTCCATTAATGATTAAAAATTGGAAAGGTAACATCTTAGCACATTCAATCACCAAGTTCTAAAGAGGGGTATGCAGTAGTATACTTATTATTTGCATATTGAATATTATCTGATTGTTGTAGCTGTGTGCTTCAGATCATTATCTTGCTGGAACAGATGCTGTTTTCTACTTCTCTTATTTTGAGCGCTGCCTTGCAGTTTAAAGTACAAAATGTTCACATAGTCCTCTGAATTTAAATTGTATCTAGTAACTGAAGATTTCTTTTACCAAGGAAGGAAACACCATGGCCACTTGAAAGTTTTAGGGTGTAAGAAATGTTCCGCTTATTAAATTTTTCTTATATGAGGATTGTTAGATCACCCACTAAACATTTTTCTGATGATAAGTCCTCTACCTCCTCCTCCCAAAAAAAAGAACTTTTTTTTTTCTCACGAAAACTAGGCTTATGAAGTTTTATCTCATTAAAGATTGTTTTTGTCTTTTGGATTCTTTAAAAAAAAATCGTATCTCTAATTAAACAACATAGTGATTAGTGTAACACGAAACCATTCGAAGCACAAAATAATATTCATGATACAATGCATACTAATAATTGAATAAATAAATATAATATCAATTATATAAAAGATTCTTGAATGGTATTAAAAATAGTTTGCTAATTAAAAAATAAATCAAAGTATGGTAATATACAAATACTTTTTGCAAACAAATTTTATTGTTTTTAATTTTTATATCATTAAGCTAAGAAGTTACATATTCTTTTACCTATGAATTTTCTTCACTATGTTGTTAGGAGAAGTATTTTTATCCTTTTAGCAATTGGTTGATCAATAACTGGGTTTGTAAATACTTTTTGTCACTGCTGAAATATATGTTATCATATAACTACCAATATTTCTTAGTATTTATTATTTTTAATTATAATTCACTCTTATGTTATGTATGCTTTTACAAATATTTTTTATTGATCAATAAATCAATGTTTGAGTAACCCCATCCCTAATTACTCATTTATAAATCATACTTACTTTAAAATGTCAATTTTATATACTTTACTAAAACCTTATGCTCATTTATTTTATTCCAGGATATGCAATTTAGAATTGATGTTGGAATATGGTTGTGAAGCTTGGAGAGCATACATTGAATTACTCATGAGATGTGTTTCACATTCTCAGAAAGTACTTCAAAGCTTAAGGTTAGTTCTTTCGAAGTGATACCAACTAGTTTGTCTTTTAATTGTGGGTTGATGGTTGACTGTAGTGAATAATTGAAGATAAGTATGGTTGGGGTGATCAGTCAAAATAAAATAGTAAAAATAAATACAATTATTTATTTTTACTATTTTATTTTGACTGATCACCCCAACCATCCTTCTCTTCAATTTGTCTTTTATATTTATCACTGATACTGTTGGAAAAAAAATGATTTCTAATCCTTATTTAATTATGAAAATGCTTATCATGTGAACTTTTAATACCAGTTACACTAACTTGATATCGATTATTATTCTTTGTAAAATTTCAGTCAGTTGCTTTTTTTTTTTTAGGTATGAAATTCTTTCCTATCCTAACCTTGCCATTTCAGAGAAATACTTTATTGAAAGTAATGCTGCCCTACTACATATACATACTACATAGGGTTGCTTTATACACAGCATACTTATCAATCCATATGGACATAACTATTAAATTAAAGTCTACATTTCTTCTTATTTCAACAGTAAAATTAATCTGTTTGAATTAGTCATCCCTTGCATAATTAGTTTAACATAGTAGATAAACATGTTTATTTTATAAATTTTAGATCATATAAAGTTACTATCTAGTATTCTTCCTTTCCTAATCTAGGCCTGATAATATTTTTTTTTTGGCTATAGGGGGTTTTCCCGGATCAGGGGGTGAGGGCAGGGATTAATGGCAGAATTAAAAGACTCCCCCGCTACACGAACTCGTGACTATTTTTATACAGTAATCTTATATATCAGGTTGCCGGGTAACGGCAGTGCTGTGCACATCTGCCCTCTGGCTAGAAGAGGTTTGGCTATAGCTCTAGAGCAAATCCCTTTCTTCATCTCAATATGCCAGAAGTAGTAAGGAGAGACCAACCAAAAAAAAAAAAAAAAATTGGTTTATGACTGATCCATTTTTGTGGACTTTGACGTCAACGGAGAGGCCACAGAGGTGACATATGACAACCATCTCAGACTGGACTAAAGGCGGAATTATAACTATTTAACTTTAAAAACTACTTAGCCTCATCACTGAAATATAAAAAAAATATAATAATGCCCCTTTTTACTTCAGCTCACCACACATAGTGTTGGATTTACATTCTTTCAAATTTATAAATATAATTTATCATGCAGTTAAAATTCATGTTTGCATGTTTTCATACTGGGGCCCTCTGGTCTCATTTATTTCTCACCTCCCCTCTCACTGGTGGTGATCGCGTTATCTCCAGACAGACATTAAGCCCAGATACTCACCCTCTCTCACTCACGGAGGCAACTGGTTCCTAGACCCAGAGGCATCAGCTTTAATACCTGACCCAATATTCAGCTTTAACAGGCCATCGGCTATGCCTGACCCAATATTCATATTTAACAGGCCATCGGCTATGCCTGACCCAATATTCACCTTTAACAGCCCATCAGCTATACTCTTCTGGACTGGAGGAGATGGCATCAATGAGCCAAAGGAGAGTAGTGCGTGAAAGAGTTATCAGCAACACCAGTAAGACAAGACATTATTTTTAAAGATCTAAGACCAGTCCCCTCTTATTCTTGTATGTTATAATTATTTTAACTTTATTAACTCAATAACATTATTGCCCTTTCAAGGGTAAAAGTTTGAATCAAAATAAAGGAATTAATGATATTAATTATTTAAAATTACTTACAAATATCTTCTCACAAAATATCCCACTAACTATTATTTCATGCAAGAAAAGGGCCTCCCATTATTGTACACATTGAATCTATCATTTTCTATCTGATCTCTCTTCCTCTGGCTTTGTATTACTTCTCCAATCTGCTATCCACATTTTTAAATCTTGTCTTTTTAAATCCTTGATTTTTTCAATTTGATTTCCTAACAACAGTGATTTGCTTTCTTGTATGTCCTACTTTATAATTAAGAAAACATGTTTTTTTCTTTTATAATTGTTTTATTTTATATAATATTGCTCTAGTACTACAGCAATTTAATGAGTTTTACTTTTAAAGGAACAGGTAAAGACTTCTCACCAGACTTCCTAACACTATGTTTAAAATTTAATGATAATAACAAGTAATTACAAATAACAACAGCTCATTTAACATATAATCGATCCATCATGAACTAAATCATTAAAATTTTCTGTTAGTATAAAATCTTTTAGATTCTGTTTTATAAATCACTGTAATAAAATATATTATTTTAGAAAAGAAATTCAAGAAATCAATTGGGAAAGGAAGCATGCACAGATGAAAGCAGGAGAGAAGTTGAAAAAGTTAGAAGTGATGTGGGATGAACTTGTGAAAAAGAACTATGAAATTGAACAAGCCTGTGTTGAGTTGGAAGAAAAACTGACAGATGAACAAAAGAAAAAATTAGAACTTTTAAATTCATGATTGTTTAAAAGATTAATGTTCAAACTTTTACTTTTATTTTTTTAATCTGCATTTCTTGACAGTATATGTACTTTATATGTTTTGCAAACATTAATATATTTAGTGTGTGCAATAATTTTAAGTGTATAATAATTATTTAAGTTCTTATGTGATGCCTTCTAGTTTTGACAATAAATAGAAATTTGCCACATATCTGTATTTTTTATATTTATTAGATTGTACTATTCCATTGGAGCATTAAGATTAAAAACAGTCCGCATTTATAAAATATGCATCTATACTATCTAATTTTATCAACTTATGTTCTGTTTAAGTCATAGAAATTATTCACAAATAATTTTTTTATATACACATACATTTTTACTTCCTCACTACTAAAGGTAGGTAAACTTAGTATTTGTGTGAAAGATTATTAAAAAAAATTGAGCTCAAAATTGAAAATTGTGTTTTATGTTTTATATTTTGAACATCCAGAAACAAATTTGGCTTCATATCTGCCTGTATATAGTCAAATCCGCGTGACAGTCCTATTATCCACCACTGTTAGTTCAATTTTGATGTAATCTTCAGAGATTTTGCGAGTTTGTATCTAGATGGTCACATATCAAATTCCATCCACTACTTCTGTATGCTGAAACATATTATGATACACCTGTATATCAAAAATAGTTTGTTTGATTAGGCTCAAAGTTGGAGGAAAGTCAGGGATTATCGAACATTTTAAAGAAAGGAATTAGTGATAAGGTTTAAAAAAATATTCTTTCCTTAACATCAGTATTTCGGAAACAACTCATTTGACTTTTCCCATAATTGGAAGACATTTGAGAAATAAGGTACAAATGGCCTGAAATTATTTAAGATTGAAATGAGGTAGGCAGTAAACATAAGACAATGGGAGGTTGTATTAGTTTTTAAACTTAATGTGATTTATTTTACAATTAGATTATTCGATTCAGTTTTAAGTCAAATTATAATCTTAATGAAATCTACTCTTGTATGCATTTCTTCATATGTGTCCTAAAAAATTGTAGGGAAGCTATACTGAGTTACTTGGCAGACATTGTTTAATTTGGTAGATATTGTTGACTGTATAATGCCTGTTACCCCAAAGAAGGCAGAAAAATCAGTACAATAAAATGAGTTTTCTTATTTGTGTTATTGTTTCATCACTGACCGCACCTCTTGCTAACTTCTATACATAATTAAATATATATATTTTTTTAATTATTCATTATTCAGCATTATTTCCCGTTATTTTATTTATATTTATTAACAATGTTGTTATTTCTGTACATATATTGAGTATATTTGCTATTTTTATTTATATTTACCTAGTTTTATCTTATTATTGCGCTTGTTCATTTAATTTTACTCTTCAATGTTTATTTTATATAATTTCTTTAAAATTGTAAGTTAATTTAATTTAGGTGACTGTTTATTTCATCATTTAATTACCACACAAATTTAAGTAGTATACAATAATTTAATTGTTCTCAATACATTAAAGCATTTAGCTATATTTCATATATATATATATATATATATATATATATATATATATATATATATATATATATATATATATATATATATATATATATAATGAGATTCAAAGATATAATATGGTAATTGGCATGTTGTATGTAAACTTGTGCAAATAAACTTCAGCACAGGGTTATGTAAGAGGAAAAAAAAATTTATATATATATATCATGAGTGGTAAATACTCAGGACGCAGTCATTATAAGGTTTTTATTAGTGCCGACGTTTCAACCCAAACATGAATCATCAGTTCTGATGGTCATCAGGGCGTGGTTTGAGCACTCGAGATATTCAAAAAACCTTATAATGACTGCGTCATGAATATTTATCACCCATGATATGTAGAACAGTCGACTAACTTCCTTCAAATATATATATAAATGAATAGATAAGAATAATAATACTTTGAAACTTCTCTTTCGTGATGACAAGTGTGAGAATAAAAGAATTGTTTTGCTGCATCCATAAAAGATCAAATCAAAGAATTAATACTTTGAACTGATAATCAATATCATTATTAATTTATGTTACAAAATAAAAATTCTTTATTTTAGAGAATAGAAATATCATTGTATACAATGATTAAAAGAAAGATTCAAACACTAGATTAGTACCATATATATTTTTAAATAATTTATATCAGGAAAATGATTTCTTCAATAGGATAGGAAGAAGAAAATTTTACACCACTAAAAATGTTAAAAGCAGCAAATTTGTTTGGAAACATAGATAAAAACTTAATCTTTTATCCGGTTTAATAATATTTTTATGATTTGATTTATTTATTTATTTTTAAATGAAAATTAAATTATGCTTTGAAGAGGTTGGATACCATCCTTTTGCAATAGAAATTAATTATTTATAAAAATGAATAAAAGTAATATCATTAATGATATAGTTTCATTATTTTAAGAAGATTTATTATATTAAAATCTTATTTTTTATTATTAATTAACTAATAAAATCAAGGTGTGATAATGATTTATGTAATACAGTTATATCTCAAAATGAAAATATAGGGAGTAAGGATGATGAATTGCTAGCAGTATTAAATATCTTGAAAATGAGGAAAAACTTGAAACTTGTTGATTCAACTAGTGTAAAATAGAAAATAAGATCCTGTTCACAAATAAATTAAATAAAAAAGTAATATCATAAAGATCCTCTATGGTTACTGAGAACTACATAAAAAAAAAACTTTGAATATATTTATTGAGAGATTTTAAATTAAACATAAAATATAGGATTAAATTTTTAAAACTTCATTTTGCATAATTGACTAAAATTGTTAGATTTTTTTCAAATTCACTCTCCAAGTTTACTATAATGAAGGTGCTATTCCCAGAATGAGGAACTGTCTAATATTTATCTTTAAAGGTTGTATATATACCTTGTTACTTCCTCACAGGGACACATCCAGAAACATTCTTTAGAAAAGGGAGAACAAATATTGAAGAAACTATATTACAGTTCTGTATGTAAAAAATAAATATTACCATTTATTTTTTGCCTTCCTTTTTGACTGACCACCCCAACTATTCTTCTCTTCGTTATTAAAGGTCATATATTGCAGAGCCCCATCATACCCTTCAAACTTATGTCAGTTACGATCTTGTTTTATAAATATACATTACATTTAAGTTACTAATTTTTTGAAGGTAAGGACAATGATGACAGGAATCCTAATAATTAAATCATAGGAAATTTTTTGGTATTGATTTTCGGAGAAAACCGTATAGATTTTCAAAAAATCCATATCAAAAGAATCAATTTCCTATCAAAAGTGGTGCGATACATCCTATTTTAATCAGTTCTGAAGCATTTTTGAAAATAGATGTAACCAGTTTTGAAACCAAGTGCTTCATATGTACGGTTCTAGGACCTTAAGTCCTAGATATTTTGGACCTCCCTTGTTTAGAGCAAGAGACTGTGTGTGTGTGTGTGTGTGAATTTTTTTTAAATTGTTCTCTAAAGTTAATTTTAATACAATATTTAATAATTATAATTTTTTATTACAATACTATTTCTTAAATATTAATCAATTAGGAAAAATGAAATATTTTAATGTCGCAAATGGGAGGGATCCCTTCAATATATTGTTTTCAATAATTTTGAGCCAATGTTATTAAAGGTCTGAACTTAAAGGCCTGAACTTCAGGTCGAAACGTCGGCATATGTAAAAAATAAATATTACCATTTATTTTTTGACTAACCACCCCAACTATTCTTCTCTTTGTTATTAAAGGTCATATATTGCAGAGCCCCATCATACCCTTCAAACTTATGTCAGTTACGATCTTGTTTTATTTAAAGAAGTAGTTCCCTTCTTTCATTTTCCTAAACATAAATAATAGTGAATTTCACATTAATGTAATTTCCTTGGCTATGTCATTAAAAAATAGGGTTATATAATGAAAATATGTATTTATTTTATCGTTACAATTAACTATATTTGATTATAAGTCAATCAATTAATAATAATTTCCAATTATCTGCAAATTAATTATTTATTTCCAATTACATTGTTATGAGGATTTATAGAAATGGTATATTTCTATAATTATTATATACTTTATTCCCTCTATGATCTAACCTTCATGTGTGTGTGATCTGTAAAGTTTATTTTGTTACTGGATATTAAACCGTTTTTTAATTTCTCATTTGGTGCAATTATATTGGCACTCTTTCAATATTATTGAAATATAATTGATATCAATGTAGCCCTTACATGGCCAATATATTGACTCAATAGTAGTGACTGTGTTTGGGGATCTTTATAGGTCATGTTGTACATACTCGATTGTGCAATTAGTTAAGATTCTTTAGGGGAAGCAATACTTTATGTCTGAATCCAATCCATTATTGCAAAATAATTCTGGTAAATCAGAACTGATCACTTATAATTACACAAATTTGTGGGATTTTTTATGTAGTTATATAATATAGTAAACTTTCTGTGTTTTTTTTTTACTATTACCTGTCCAAAGAATTTGTGTTTTTTTTTCTAAAAAAAGAAGCAGGATGAACTGAATTAATAGAAAATCGCGTTTTGTTTTAAATTTTATTTATTCATTTTTATAAAATAAAATCGTGGTATAGAATTCATGTTTCCATTAAAAAAAAATAATTGAAGAGTGGATTGGAAAAAATATTAAAGTTTCAAATTTTGACTAAAAATTTTAAATACTCAACTTTAATCATTTTTTGATAAGTTTATTCCTAGGACCTATCAAAATTCTAGTTCTGCAGTAATAAGAAGAAAATCGATTTTGAAAAAAATATTCAAATTAAATCGGATTATTTTGAGCGTTAATGACTTCAACGTTTTACGTTTAAATCAATCAAAACGATTATTATTGGAATTAACATGCGTTAAAGAAACGAATAATTACGATTTTTTCTCCTGGTTGTGTTAAGAAATTAAAAAAAAAAGTAACCATCAAAAGAATTTATAAACGTAATATACCAAGTTTAAATTGAAAAAAAAATATATCGAGCGAAGTTAATTTTTCGAAAAGAAAAAAGGTATTTTGGCATATAATTTGTTTTTATTTATTTGTTTTTTGCTTGTTACATTTTCTTTCCCTTATATTGCCAATTTATTTTGTATATTGTTTGGATGTATACCTATTTTTTTGTTCTACCTGATACCGGAAAAAGCGGTAATTTGATTCGGGTGCCATCTTGTTTTTTCGCTAATTGAATTAGAGTTCCGCCAGATCTTTGAAATTTGTTCGTGCATTTAAAATCCAAGAAAGAATTCCTTACACATCTACACATTGAGGTTCATGTATGTATATTGGTTTATTTATACATTATTATTAATGTAGATTATACACTGTCATTAATTTACTCTCATTATTAGTTTATTTCACTTAGAACAAGAAATTATGGTATTTCCATGTAATATATAAATTTATTTTCGTACTTAATAAACTAACTATCATGTTAATGGTATAAATTTGTGACAGTGCGGAATGAGAAATGTTTCATTTTTATAAATCAGTTACATACATTTTATTTTTGATTTATTATTTTTCTTTCTGTATTGGAGTGTTAGGTGATAGAAAATATCTTAGAAGAGTCATCCATTTGTATCAATCTATAGTATAATAGACCTATAGACTCTAAAGCGTCATAGTGTTTTTTCAAATGATTTCTGAGGTGAACATATTAACACTTATATTTAAGTTCTGTATCCAATGTGTATACAGGTACAAGTGTATTTAAATTGTTGTGCAACAATCATTTTTGAGTAATTAAGGAGGTAGGAGGAATAAGAGAAATGAAAGTACACAATTTTAAGTTCAAAATTTAATCAACAGACAGGAAGAACATGAGCTAATTTTTACATATATACAATTCTTCCTATACACTTAATGAATAGAAAAAAAATATTACACATTCATTCATTATTCATAAGCTTTTTTTTAAACTTATTTTATTTTACACTTCCTATGTTTTTGTTGTTTTTATTATTATTTTTTTTAAAGAATGTTTGTACAAGCACGTTTTTATTACAGGGGCAAGTTTAGAGATTAAAAGTTTCAATTTTAAAGCATTTTGAGACCATGTTTATGTGCGTTTAACAAATTAGCATTGCTACAATCCTAATATTGTTAAAATTTTATTTCACAACTAATTTTTTCTATGGTGATCTTTTATCTATTCAAATCAAAAATAATTTATTACTTTTACATTTTCAGAATTCTCTTGGTTATTGTCAAAGTCATGCAGATCCTCCAAAGCTCAAATACCTACATTTTACTTTTTAAAAAATCAGAAAAATAAGCAAATTGAATTTAAGTGGTAATGGTCACAAAAAACCCTCATTTTTTATTCTTAAAGATTTTTTGTGAATTTGAAATATTATTGATTGAATAATCACATGTTTTGCCAAAAAAGACACACGATAATTACGAGTGTCATATACTTTAGAAATATCCTAAATAAATAAAATTGTGAATTAAGTAGAAATTAAAACAGAACCAATTGTATAACCATGATTTCTTTACTTATACATATATTTCATAAGAATGATTATCTGTTACACTTGATATTAATAAGTTTTTCATTAATTTTCTTGCATCTTAACTAATTTAAAACTCAAATCACATCATTTTGTTTTAATTTTTTATATATTTTTTCCTGTTGGGTACTCAGCTTATTAAACAAAACATTAGTTGGTTACAATATGATTTAGTTACTTCTAAATTATAAATATTTATAATAATTTTTAAGTGCATTTGGAAAGGTAAACTGCATAACTCTGATAACCCAGATCTGTAAATTAGAGTCATTAAGCTACTTTAAAAACTAAAAAAAAAGGTTAAACTGTTTACAATCATATTAGTTATTTAAACTGTACATACAATGTAAAAATACAGAAAACAAGGAGGGATTTTTGGATCGTTGCCATTTAATTTATTCCATAATAGGTTACTTTTTCCACCCGTACACTGATAGGAATATATATACACATTACTTAACTATATAATTTTATTCACTATATATTAACACATTATTGCCAGCACTCTTCCTGCTCTGCTCAAATTTCAGCCATTTATTCTTTGTTTATATTGTTATCTACTTAATAAACTCTAAATAATATCAACATCATAGTGTGTTTTACACTATATATAAAGATGAAAAACACTGAGGTTATTTTCTGTCAACCAATAAAAATAAATGGTAATTTTTTTTCATTTTTATCAAATTTTTCAAAAACTATAGATTCTTAAATGAGAGAGTATTATTGGACTATATTTACAAAAGTTAAATGGTAATACTTAACCAACTTAAATATTCAATTAAATTAAAATTCAAACCGTTGACATTTTCATGCTTAAATTTTAAGCTTTATAAAACTTATTTGCCTTTTCATTTTAATTAGGAATCATCAGTCTTAAATATACTGTGGTTGAAAACCATCTTCATTTATGGCATAATATGTTAATAATAATGATGATATTAAAAAATAAATAAATGAATAAAAACTTGCCACGTTGTAATTTCATCCATAACTTAACAGTTAATACTAATGGCTTTTAATTTTTATGAATTTTTTAAATATTTTTATATTCAGTTTCAATTGAAACATTGTCTAGAAGCACGATTAAACGCACTCTATGATTTCACCATTTGTTTAGGAACGCGCACATTAGATTTTCAAAAAAATACCTAGTTGATATAAAATCTATCAGAACGTTATAAAGTCAGTGTAGTCAAATTTATTTACATCATTGATGAAGCAATGAAAGAGTAAATAAATCTCTACAGTGAGTGGTCACTCAGTGAGTTTCACTAAATTCAGTCAGTATAGATATGTCAACGGCAGCATTAGGTTTCTTTGAATTATACGTACCATTCCTTTATGTCTTTTGTTTCTCTTTTTTTGGTTTTCCCATTTCCATTCTTTACTTGGCCATTGATTGCTTGAGGTGTGGGTGGGCTCTGATTTAGCAGTGCAGCATTTTGTCCTTGACAACTAGAAACTCCATAAACTTTCCTTTCATCAACCTTATAAACCACTCCAGATCTATTTTTAAGTTTTAATACTATAAGTATTATGAGAATGATAGCAATCATTGTCCCAGCTATAATTCCTATGACTAATGCTGTATTTGTGGCAGAATCTGAGTGTATTGGATTCCTCTTGTCATTATTATTAGGATAAGGAATGTAAGGTGGAGGTGGAGGAGCTGGTGGAACGTATTCAGTTGTTGTTGTGGTTGAAGTTGTTGGGGATGTCTGGGTTGTAGGCTTCCCTGGACTAGTACCCTCTGGGGTTCCTGAGGTTCCAAATTTAGGAGATATTCCTGGGCTTGTTGCATCCGGCGATGAAGATCCTATGTCATCTGTTGTAGAAGGACTTGAACCTTCTGCTTCAGTAGTATTCATATCAGGAGTTGGGACAGGCTTTGTGATGTAATCTGTCAAAGACAAAAAAATCAAGCATGAAAAAAATATTACTACTTGCCATACTTATATAATATTTGTGATAAGGGTGTATTTCATCACATAACATTAAGCTATATTGACTAAATGTCTTAGAGCAATAAAAAACAAACAAATCAGTATATTACTTCAGCTTAACATATGTCACACAATGCCTTGAAATAATATGCTTCATAGTGACATAAAATGCAGATTTTTCACTTTAAAGATTTTATAAACAATTTTCTTGCCCTAATACAAACTGAAAGCTCAAAACAGTAATCTGTAGTTAATTTGGCACTTTCAGTTTCTTCCTGTTATATGAACATTAATTATCAATAAAATAATAAATTTTATCTAAGAAAAATACAGACCACTAGATCCTTTTGTTGAAGAAGGTTCATCAGTCACTTCACCTGAGCCCGAACCATCCGGTGAACATTCTTCATCATCACAGTCAGGTTGTTTAGTATGATTTTTTTCAGTTACTGGAGGACGAGTTGGGGGGACATAGACTGGAGTTATCAGATCATCACCTATGAAGCAACAATTATCTCCTTTAGCCTTTTAACAACTTTTGATCACGCTATTCCTCATTTTTTAAACTTATCATAGCATTAATTAAAACAAATATTCTTCTTATTAAAATAAAGGATATTAAATGTTTGTGGAGATATAGCTGGTGAATAGGCCAAGTTCTGAAAATGAAATTATGACGACTTTATTTGTAGGTACTTTCAATTTTTTTTTTTTTTTTCCAGATCAGGACTTCTTTCCATTTTTAGAGGAAATTAACAATTTTATCTTAAGTATAAGTAAATCGATAATAAGAATGAAACTAAACAAAAAAAATGTAAAAGAATTTATTCACTTTTCTTAAGTGTAAGTGAATCAATAATAAGAATGAAATTAAAACAAAATAAATTTTAAAGAATTTATTCACTTATCTTAAGTGTAAGTGGATCGATAATAAGAATGAAATTTAAAGGAATTTATTCACTTATAGAAATTTTTGTATTTTATGGTATTAAACCTTTAAAGAAAATGGTGGTGATAATAATAACAGTCGTTATTTTTAATCTTCTTATTAATATTTATAGTCATGCTTATATATATTACAAATGTATAGTTTACACCTTAATAAGACTCCTTATAAATATACTGTTATTCATCAAACAAACAAAAATTTTTTCTGCTTTCCTACTGGTTTAAACATTTACTTTGAAAATGTTATTTCTGTTATGGAAATATTCAGTACATGCTCATTTTTTAAAATTAAAAAATTCTCACAATTTAATGTTGTTTTTTTTACTATTTCATAAAGTGGAAAGGGTGGAGATAAAACTTTTATCTCATGATATTAAATATTTTTTACAGAAACAAGTTAATTTTTTAATTTATTTTAAAATCATCGTTTTTTAATAATGACTGTACTGAAAAGAAACTGTCTAAATTTACTATCATGAAAAAGTGATTTATTCAAAAATCATTTATTGTGATTAAAAGTAAACAAACTGTTAGTTACTTTTACCAAATTTCTCATTATTTTAATGTCAGAAATAATTAACAGTAGTCCAACTACCACTTCAAATATCTCTATGTAACATCAAAGTTTTAATTAATAGGATTTCTTTTTGGATATAAAATAAAAATTACCAGAGCCTGTTTCAAAGTGAGGCGTGCATTGATCTTCATCATCAGCATTACACCCTGAACCAGCTCCAGAAAACACTAGGTCGTCCATCACTCCTGGATATTCTGAGGCAGGAGTCTATATAATCAGAACATAAATTTATATAAAGCATGGAATGAAAAGTTTATCATTATTCTAGGATATATAATTCTCTAAGAATAGCGAAAATGCAAATTTTGTCTGCCTGCAATGATTAGTTATTAATAAAATTATGAACTAGACAAGTTTATGAGTTAAAAAATACATGAAATACAATTACGAATAAATGAATACAAATTTAGAAGATATTTTTTATACAAATTTATACCAACTTACATAGACGTATATTCTTTAAATATTCATAGAGTATTGATAATTGAGAAGATAGAGAAATAGGTGGAATTTGAAAAAAGCCATTGAGGGAAGTTTATAAAAGGAGTTGAGTAAGGAATTCTAAAACAAGTCAACATGAATTAGTTGAGTTCAAAATTATGGGATGTTTTGTTTTTTTCCTCAAGAATGCATCGAGAAGATATTGTTTTAAAAAAATAGAAAATAATCAGTCTTGCTCAGAATATCATGAAAAGTGTCTAAGAATATGGAAAACAAATCTTATGTGAAACAAATTGTTACTCTTTTCAGAAACATTTTTGCACACCAGATAGTAGGTACCCTTAGTAAAAGTTTGGCAGAATGAGGGAGGAAGTTAGAAGATGACAAGTACTAATTGGAAATGAATCACTGAATCGTAAGAGCTTTATAAGGATTAAGATGGATTTTCAGCCTGAAAATTTCAGGTGAATAGGGAAATAATATTATTCCAGTTTTGGTAATGCATCATTACCAGATTTGTATACATTCATATCTTCTTCAACCTTTTTAAATGGAAGTTTTGTAGGCAACAAACATTTATTACTCAACTTTGATTCTAAAAAAGAATTAATTTGATTTCATCTCTTTCTGAACAATACCTGTTGCATGCGCTGATACGATTCATGTAGCCTGTCTCGAATGCCAGTTAGGAGTGTGACATCTCCCCTGACCTCCGTTCTAGGATCCTGCTCCGCAGCTAGGTCAAGAAGTCTAAGCCCATTAAATACGAGCCCTGAGAGCACACCAATAAATGCTCTTTCAACTTTCTGCTTTGCTCTGTTCCATTTTCCTCCCACTTGTATTTGAGCTTGTGAATTGAAAACTGACAACTGATGACCTACAATAAAAAAAAAAAAGAAGAAATATTACGTTATTAAAAGCATCATATTTAATGATTTTGTTGATAGGATATTTTAAAATTACAAGTACCAGCTGGATGATTTGTCTGAACATTATAATCATCTATTTGAATTGTTGAATTTGCTCCTGATCGAGTAAATCTTACTACATGGTATTGATTATCGTTGACTTTAACATTTATTTCTCCAATTGGGTGGTCATTGGTTCCCATATTATAAACCATAAAAATATTCCCTTCGACCTAAAAAAAATAAGATGGTTAATTTATTGATTTGCTCAAAAATTATTAATCCAATAGTCATTAAGTTGGATGTGTTTAGGTCAAAACAATCAAAAAGTGGAAGCAAATATTTTTTGCTTAGGCTAAAAATAAATCTTTGCTTGAAATCTGTTCTCTAAACTCTGCTGTCCAATGGTAGTGCCCTCTTTGCCACTGCTATTTAACTATAAAGTTAAATGATATACGAATAGTTCTGATTGCAAACTTTATTAGTTCATGCACTGAACTGTCGAGCTAGTGGGGAGGTCTGAGTGACGTCCGCAATAAATCCTTAATATTATTCTTAATGTTTTATATTAGAACAGAAAGGAGATAACCTACTACCATCTATTATCTCAATTGTTACATTAATGAAATCTGACCTTTAGATATCCTTCATTCCTCCATTAAGATCATTCCTCTTTTTTCAAGTTAAACAAGCTTCTGAAGAAATTCATACAAATGAATTTTAAATGGATTGAGTTAGTATTAAAAAATACTTGGGCTTAATAATTAACAGATATGGCAGAATGGATACATAAATTGGAAACTGTATCAAAAAGGCATTTGGCTTCTATGGCAAGAAGATAACTAAATGAAAAACAAAATCTTGTATTGTTCAAAACAATATTCTTCCATATGGCTTGAAGCATTTGGTCGCTCTTTCATTTTTGCTGGCTCAACAGTATCAAAATTAGATTTCTTAGGAAATTAATAGAAGTGATTCATTGGTACTATGGATAAAATGATATAGAATATACAAAAGAGCTTGAAGGGGTTCACACTCAGGATATTGATCGGCAATAAAGTTGAATATTACGAGAAGGTGTTCCAGAATCTGTGGAAACTTTCCAGACCATATGTGAATCCTATTTAGAAAAAATAAGGAAAAACCATTGGGAAAACATGGAACCCAGACGAAGCCAGGAGTCAAGCTAGAATGGGGGTGCTCTATGCTAAAAGACTCTAAAGAGAAAGAGAAAGAAGTTTCATCCTAATGAGAGTAACTGTGAAATATTTTCTGATAATATTATTAATAATCATTATTTTAAATAGTCTAATTTTTCTTACAATTTCAAGCTCCATGTAATCATTAGACGTTCCAGAATCTACCCTGAGTAGAACAGCATCATCTTGATCAGTAATAAAGCCTAGAGCAAGAACATCACTCTTCATTTCTGGACGTCTTTCTTCAGGGAAAACGTATGTAACCAGTCCTCGATTAGGCCCGAATTCGTATGCTATTGATTCTAAAAAAAAAAAAAGTGTTCTACATCATTAAAGGTTTTTTTTTATGGAGGGGAATTCTTTTTATGATTATTTTTATTAAATGAAAGTTAATTGAAAAGAAATCTAAGAGAAATTATTCGATTGAGAGTAAAACTGTCATAAGTTTCTGTTTTTTTATAAAACAAAGAGATAATATTGTGCTATGTTCAATTGACTGTTTGAGATTTACCTTCAGTGCACTTTGGACCAGTATAAGATGTCATATCACAATCACAAGTATATGAATTCCACTGTTGAACACAAATACCTCTGTTGGCACAAATATTATGACTGCATTTTGTACTTGGGCCTGAAATATAATTATATTAATCTCTCTTTTCTACATTATTATTTGTATTTGCAAAATGATTTTATTTACCATCACATCCTGTTGAAACCAGTGAGCTTGGCACAACAGCATCTTCCAGTATATTAGGAGATTCACCATTTAAATCAAGGGAAGCAAGACATCCCTCAAATCCATGCCGGGCCTGCACTAACTTTGGAAGCCTTGAAAAACTATCCTTCGGTAAACCCCCTGTAGTCAACATAAATTGCTCCTTATACTACTGTTTATTACAGCTTTAACCATAATATCGATTATATATTTACCTAGATAGAGGATTCCACCTAGATCAAGATTGTCATTATTTCCTCTGCTAGTTATAGTGGCATATGTTTCATCTACCATTAATGTATGTTGTCTAGGCGAAGGTCTACCAATTGTTACTGAATGCCACTTATTATCATTTAGGATTCCTCTTGCATTGTCTCGCACCTTTACTGGGCCATCTCCGAGATCAAAGATATACTGAATATGCCCATTTAATAATTCAACAGCTGGAATAAATAAAAGGAATTAATTTTTTTAGTAGCTGATAATTGTGTAATTATTTTTTCAGTAATGATATCTCAGAAACATTTTGTAACTTTATTAAAATCATGGATAAAAATTTAATAATTTGAGTAAAAATAATTGTTTAGGAAAAGATGAATACCTATGAAGTCTTGCTCTCTGCCAGCATTGTATAATATAAGTCCACTGGATTCCCTTGTCTTAAATTGAAAATAAATGTTAGTTCCAGAATAAGCTTTTAAGACTGGCAGGCCGACAAAAGTATGCTTCGATTTAAAAGTGACTGGGTGGTGTACCAACTGATGATCACGTTTACTGAAATTGGCAGTTACTTCAATCCTCAAAAGGTGGCCTCCAACTGCAATGTTATAATAAATTACATGGCAGAAATCAACCATTAAAGAAAAATAATAATAAATATATACAGACCAAAAAAATACTAAAATGGGAAGGAAAAAAATATTGAAATTTGGATTTAATTTTTTTCTTATTCAAGTTTTTTTGGATATTTCCTGTTTTCCCCATACTGTCTTCAAATATTTTCAATGACCATGATGATCAGTGTAAGCATTTTTTCAACAGTATCTTATTATTTAATTTTTATATTCCAAATGAAAAATGGAAAACAATTCCAAAAAAAAAAAAATTATTTCCATTTCTAAATTTTTTTCTTCTATTTTGAACTGACAATAAGTTCAAATTTGGTTTTATTTCTTGTTAAAAATTAATAGAACTTTATAATTATTTATCTTTAACCTTGAAGAAAGGAAATGCCATACACTTCGATATAAGATTAAAGAGCGTTAATCATATGATGTGAATGTATGGAAAGAGGGATGAGGATCGAATAATAAAAGATTTATCGAAAGCATCGGTTCAGTGGGCCATTATATATAAATCTGAAGACAGGAAATGGGTATTGTGGAAGTGAACAGAGGATTTAAATTGAAGGAGCCCGGAGATGTATGAAGGACGGCGGGAGTGAATGACTTGGAAGAGGAAGGATGCCAGGAAATACTTACAGCGGTAATAAGGATAAAGCCACATCAACTCTTCATAAAAACAGGAAATAGGGGCGTCCCTTGGGATCCCGAAGATGAATCGTACGAAGCAATTTATCAAATGTTTTAGTTTTGCTTCGAGATCCCCAGAGACGCCTCCATATACCGTGCAGCAATACACTGGAGGTGACCAGGTGTCTATGGGTTTCAAAAGAAAAAATGTGACGGAGGCTATTTAAGCGTTTTAAGGTGGAAAAGGTACGTCGAGAGATATTGGATACATAGTTTTTCCAGAAAAGGGTTTGATCAAAGATTATTCCACGGTTTTTGATGGTGGGATAAAATTTGATGGGATTATCATGTAGGAACAGGGTTGGAATGTTAGGAACAGTTTTAAAGAGGTGATTGGAGCCTATTAGTATTGCCTTTATCTTTTCCGCATTCAACTTCAGCTTGTTAGCTCCTGCCCAGTCACATATTCTATTTAAGTCTTCCTGAAGTTTTTTGTGGCGGCTAATAGGTCAGAAGGGAGGAAGAGCAGGTATATTTGAAAATCGTCGGCATAGATATGATATTGGGTGTGATGGATCATGAGGGGAAGGTTATTAATGTAAATAGCAAACAGAGTAGGAGATAAGAAGGAGCTCTGAGGAACACCCCAGGAGAGGGGGAGTGTCTTTGAAGGAGGTTGATCTGGGACGACTACACACTGAGATCGACCAGAAAGAAAGGATTTGAACCATCACAGGACACTGTTGGATAAAGGAAGATTTTGCAATTTAGTAAGAAGGATGTTATGGTTAACTGTATCAAATGCTTTGGAAAAATCTACACTAGTAGATACACTAATTTGAAGGTTTTAGATATATTATTATTATTATGATCTAAGATAATCAAGATTAAACTATGACTACCTGGAAGTTCAGAAGTCCCATGCATTGATCTAGCCAATTCGAAATAATGTACATTGTTGTATGTAAACTGTTGCATAGAACCAACAAAATTAGGAACTGAGTTTGTCATTTGAATTTCTTCTTCATCATGGAATAGGCCTCCCACATGTAGGCTCCTCAATTCTAAAATACCTTGTTTTCCTAGGACTGCTTCGACTACTATAAAAGAAAAAATATAGTTATTTATTACAACAATTTTAGAAACTATATTTAACATTATATATTGTTAACACTGAAAATCATTATTTTTCTGTTTATTCATTATTATGTAGATGTTTTGCCCAGAATATTTATTTAACTTTTCTTTTTCGTCTTAATTATTTATTGTTTTTTTTTTTTAGTATCAAATATATTGTTATACTATTACTCATATTTTTTAAAATTTGATAACTATGTAATATGATATCTCTATTACTTAATTTTTAGTTATTAATTTATTGTAATAGCTCTTATGGTCAGAGTTAATATTTATTTGCCTATAAACTATTATTATTCTTAAGAGACTTCGTCCCCTTACAAAGTTGATTTTTCTATTTTATTCTATTCTAAATATTTTCTTAAATTTTAATGGGATTCGGGTAAAGATTTCCTGAAGCCTCAGTCCTTTGGGCTCTTTAAGCTCTAGTTTTTTCATTTCATAAATGAGAAATATTTTTGTAATTAGTAAAAACAAAAAAATTCAGAATTGGATTCTTCATTATACCTGTAACTGGTGTCTCAGCATCAACTTTGAGGTAGAGATGATCTGCCCTTCTTGAATAAGCAATTGTGTGCCACTGATTGTCATTAAGTCCTTGACCTGATAGTAATGTCTGAAATAAAACATTTTTGGAATTTATACTTCATATTTCATACTTTATATTTCTTCTTTTGATGTTATTAATATACTAGAGTAGATATAATTATAATTGCATTTGTCAATGAAGTAGCTAATGATTCATAATTTAATTGACTATTTACCTTCTCCTTATCTCCTATCCTGATGTTGAGACGGAGCCTTCCTTGGGTTAATGCAAGTTGCAATCGATCTCCCGATTGCTCTGTACTGCTAGTTAGGAGCAAGCCAAGTGGGCGTGTTGTTCTGAATCTCAATCGTACTTCTTCTGCCTGTGATCTCTGCTCTCTACTGAATCGAACGGTCATTGCCTGAGATCCATTGAAGCTTAGGGTTGTTGCTTCTGTAACAGAATTTTTCGTTTTTTTTTTTTTTAGATATTTGCCTAAACATATAAATTGCTTATTTTGATATAAAAGTTTTGTAATAGTCAATAACTGTTTTAACTTATAATATTTAAATAAATATTATTATTTAACTTTAATTTTATTATTAGTATCAATGCAATAATAACTTTATGATTTAGAAAGTTACCTAATAAATAATTAGAACCATTACCTTTGCCACATGTTGGGCCAGTAAAAGTAGTCGCAGTACAGTCGCAAACAAATCTGTTCCATCCTTCTGTACATACACCTGAACCTATGCATGGCTGGGTATCGCACTGAGGGGCCTGCCTATGACAAGCTGGCTGTATTGAACCTAACAAAAATATGTACTTTTGAGGTTTTGAAAATTGAAGTTATTCTTTCTTTAATAATAATGTTGAATCTTATAATAAATCTTGTGACAATTTTAGGTAATTTGTACAGATATATGAGTAATAATAAATATTTTTCACTTTCTGTTTCATTATTTTATGTAGTGTTAAATTTATTCTTCAATGTCTCTATGATTCTGAAAGGATATATTTTAACCTCATTACCTGAATGTTTTAAATAAATCACATTTGATAAATAATTATAGTAAGACCTGTGTTATGTTTTTATTACTAATTTACTTGAAAATCTCAAATTAATAAAAAGCTTATCTTTCATATGCTTGGTGTTATCATAAGCTGCCCAAAGTGATCAAACTCTTAAAGCTGGAGCTTTAAATTCCTCCATAACTCTTTCACAATTTCATTGTATTTACTGTAAAGATTGTGTGAAGAACTTTTTCAATGTTGATGTTGCCATAAAGCACATTTTATCAACAATTAAATACTTTCTACCTAAAATATTACAGATAGCATTGAAAACCCGGTGAAATTAAAAAAAAAAAAACAATTGGCCACTCTTTACTATTTGTTCTGATTTTCAATTGATCAATAATTAACATCTCAATGTCATATGAAGTATCATTAAAAAATCTTATAAAACCAATCAGGAATATAATTAAAACAATACATTAGAAAAATAAATCTTTTTATATTTTCTAATACAAAATTTTGAATTTCAATAGAAGCTATTTCTTTATTTTGTTTGTGTTTAGGCTACTTAAAGACTATACTGTATATATTTGACATTGGTGCAGTTTTGAAAAAATTCATGAGGGATATTTTCATTGCATTACATACAAAATTTTGATGAAGTTCACCATTTCTAATTTTAATCATAATCTAGCTTGAAAACAGACCATTTAGATATTCATTATTGCTTGGATCTGGTCTGATTGATTCTAGTATTTTCTAGATATCAGAAAGGAAAGTCATAAACCTGAATAGCCGTTTCTTTTTTTCTCTCTTAGATTATATTTATCTCTAAAATCATTCTATCATATTTATGTAACTATTCAAAGTCTTACTTAGTATTGTATCCAACCAAGCATTAAATTTAAAGCTTGAAAACACAAAGAAGTTAAAAATACACAAATATTTTTTTCTGTTGTTTTTTACTTTCACTTACGTATATATGTAATATATAGTAAGAGAAAGTATTGCAATCATGAAAATTTTTGAATCTGAGCTTTCAATGAAAATACATGTTTTGGGGTACCTTGAGTCCAAATAACCAAGTCCCGAAAAATGTTCTGTGTGTCTGTAAACACTTTAGTTCGAAAAAGAATAGTTGTACGAAACTGATATTAAGTATTTAAGATAGGTATATGTCTTAGATGCCCTAACAACTTTTCCCTTAAAATCCGCTCACCGGAAGGCCACTTTATAACAACGGTGAAACAAATTTTTAAAATTTTCTCAAAAACGGCTCAAACGATTAAACACAAAACTTATCATTTTGTGATCACATCTATATATAACCATTACATCTTAGAACAAATTACAAATTCTTCTTCTATTCGAATAAAATTTTGTAGTATAGATAATTTATGGAATTCTGGTTTTATTATTTAGCAATTAACTAATAGTTAAATGAAGTAGTTTATTAGGATTTTACAATGGTTACCGCCAGTCTGCTGCCTAGTACACTTAACCTAATCACAAAGGATTATACAAAGATTCTACGGCCTCTGAGCTTGAAAACTGATTGTAACTTTGTTTTCTCTCAACTTCATGAAAAGTCAATTTGCATAGAAATCACTGCTGATAACATATTCCTTTTAGAATTGGGAGAAGTAACTGAATAAGTTTCCCATCACTGAATTTACATAGGCTTTAAGGTTGCTGTAAAGTAAATTTAGCCTGTATCTCAAATCATTAAAAAAAAAAAGTAATTGCGGAAATATGAGTGAATATGTTTTTAAAAGGGAAAATTTCAATTTAAACAAAGTTATGGTAAAAAAAAATTATTTTTTATATACTTATTATAAATCCTATTCTAATGAGAATCTACTTAAATTGAATTAATTTTTAGATAGATTACTTTAATATCAAGTACAAGGAAAAATGGTAAAATGTTAAAGTTAAAGTGTTTTGGATTATAACTTAACTTAACGCATTCATTTGACTTTTATAAGTCAATCTAAAAGTCCCACCATTGTCCTTTGAATTAAACTCAATTCATTGTCCCGAGTAAGGATTTAATGCTCATTTCAAGGGTTTAAAAAATTATATTAAAAAATATTTAAACTTTTAAGGTCATTAAAAAGTTTGAAAAAGTTCTTCACTTCTTCCATAAAAAAGAATATTCCATTATTGCTTGTTAAAAACTGTTGTGTCAAGTATTTATGAAATATCCCACTGAATCCCTTATTTTATGAGATTTTTTTAGAACTGTTAAAGTAATAATTATAGCATTTAAAAAAATATATAAATATGAAATATAGATAAACAGAATAATAATTACATAGAATATATTTCGACAGATGTTTCTATGCTTATATGACATTTTAAATTGATTAAATAAAAAAAAAAATTCAGATCATTTTCAACTGCCTGAGATCAGTTCACTATTCATCTTTGTACTAAGTCATAATATTTTCTTTAGATTCAATGCCAAAAAAAGGACATTCTGTCCCAATACAAGAAAAATGCAATATTTGAATTGTTTTTTTTTAAACCGCAACTTACCCTAAAATTTATTTTAAAAATTAGCTACCTGCAATATATTCCATTCAATGACTTTAATTCATAACATCCAGCAATTTATTTAACAACAACAATTTTAAGCAATTATCTTTTCACAATGAAAGGAAGATTTATACTGGATAATCTGAATGTATCTAATCAAATTTACTAAATATGTAATGTGCAGTGTTGTAATGTAAAATTTAGTGTTTTAAAAAAAAAAGATTATTTTTTTTTACAAATTGGGACATACTGACCCCTTTCGTGACTGTGAATTAAAAGAAAAAAAAAAAATCATGAAAAATTGACTTCCTATAAGGACAAGTAATAAAAACATTTTTAAAACCAGGAAACCATCATGAATTAAAAAGAATTTATTATATTTAGCTAAAATAAATAAGTAGGTATATATGAGGCATGAATATCAATAATACATAAATAATCCATAATAGTTATTGAAAATCTAATATGTTCTAATAAAGAATTTGTCTTCTATCTTATTTTATACCAGGATATAATCAAACTTCATCATGAAATGGAAGGAATTATTAATTTATTGTTTATTTAATGGTTTACGCTATAACATCTGAGAAGAGTTTTAATTTATCCTTTTAAGTTAATATATTTATACAATCATTTTCTTGCATTAATAAATTGAGCATAATTAAATCTGCTAATTTAAACTATACATCAAAGGAAAGCAAACTTCCTGCCAAAGTAGTCCTAGGCCTAGACTTGGGAAAAGTCCCACTCGCCCTCTAGAACAAATATTTCCTTGTTGAATTACATAAATTAAAGTGAGATTGGAGCTATAATTAATTCAGCTAGAGGGAATATTTAACCCAGCTCGAAACTGGGCTTAATTATGATCATAATTTTCTTCTTGAGTAAGTCAGTTGAAATGTTTGATTTAAAAATTTATTGTTAAAATTCATATAATAATATAGATTTGAAGATGCTGATATACATATTACAAATTTAATAATATTATTGTTTTATAAACCATCTAATTTATTTTTCATATTTTACAGATAAGTCTTAACTGGATCAGTGGGTCTATTGCGGATCGGGTCAGTGTCGGTGCTTAATGTTATATAAAAGTTTTTATTTTTAATCAAATAAAAAGAAAATCGATTAAGTGGATAATGTATTTAGTTTCTGCCGTGGACATTCGGTTTCCTACGCTTTCGAAATCTTCCAGGTTTTAAGATCTTAGAAGACAGTGAACATCAAAAATGAAGAAATTGTCATCTTGGAAAGTTTAAGAGGTAAGCTGCACAAATTAGTTTCTTAAATTGGGATTTAATATGAAAATTAATTTTGTGATTGTTGGCGTGCATTTGTATGAATATAGTAACCCAAAATTGTCTGAGTCAAATTGAAATTACCTATTTCATAGTTCTTTAATGCCATATGATAATCATTAAAACTATTAGAGGTGAGCTAAATTCTTATATTGTGTTCCTAAATTAAGTCAGGATATTGACCTCAGTTGTTAGTTTGTTGTAGTTTAAAATCTCAAAACCCCAAGTTATCAACCCCAATAAGCCATCATCGTCTTTAATAATCTTCTCTAAAATCTATTTTAACCAGCATCACTAAATAATAATCTAACAAATCCTGTTAATTAGGATCTAGTTATAATATTAAAATATCTTTAAACAGTGGTGGTCCTGGTGACAGATAATAAAATTGAAATATAACTTAATTTAATGTAATTAGTAGCAGATCCAAGATTTAATTTTTTTTTGGGAGGGCCATCAGTCCAAAAACATTCTTTATATATATAACAATAATTTTTTTGGAATAAAAATAAAGAAACTAACAATCAATATGAAATAGTGTTTAAGTGATTCTTGAAGTTTCATTAAATATAATTTACTTTTAGAGATAATTTTTTTCCTCAAGATTGGTTGTATTTTACCATTTTTTTTTTTTTTTTTTTTGGAGGAAGGGGAAGACTTCAACCCAAAAGGCCTCCCCCATAGATCTGCCTCTGAATAAATTGATAGACATGACATTCATTACTATGCTGTTTTACAAAAGAAATTATCACAATCTGTAATGTTAATTTGCTACATACTGTGGTCTAAGGCTATAAAGCAAAAACAAATTTCTTGTATATTCCCAAAATTAAGTCTTCTGCAAACTCAAAAATAACCTCCTTCGTTTATATATTATATATTATATACTCTGGACCATTTCTTCCATTTACTTCTGATGTTTTATTCAGTTTTTCCTATCGTTAGTAGACATG